TTAAAAATCAATTCTTGATATGGCTGCAAGATATGTTATTTGTTAAATTTTGATTTAGCTATATTATTTTTTTTTTTTTGAAGCGCCAGTTAGCAACATTGATCTTAAACGATCGTACATGCGTATGTATGTATGCATAATAGTATCTACGCAAACACACATGCATGCGTTTCGAATCTATAATAGTTTCGGTCAACGTTTCTGTTTAGTTTCAGTATTTACACATATTTGTACGTACACATTAATAGCATCTGTGTTTCGAAAATAAAACTTTGTGTCTGGGCAAAATGTTGAAATCCAACAACGGGGGGTTCGATCCGAGAGCATGCATCAATATTGCGCGAATGAACTTGTTGTCGGCCTTAGAAAAAACAGCATTGAGAATCAAACCCAAAACTAGTTCGCCATTCGGCGTATGGAACATTTAGCAACTATCTTTTTAATACAGCCCACTATATCTTCCTTTTGCCCCACATTTATTATGGGGAATGATATCTTGATTATCTTTGGTTGTTATATACCGATCCTTGTATTTTTAGAGACAAAATTATAATAGTCTCTGCAAGGTTATAAAAAATTTAATTCGACAATGTAGGTTTGTATATATGTATAAGTACACATATATGTATATACATGCACACAAAACAAATGTAGAAAATGCGATCAAAGCACATTTTGTTTAAGTAAATAAGACAAATTTTATTTTAAAATACAAATATAAGGTCTGGTTTTGGTAATAGTTTCTGAAACTGTTTCAGTTCAAGATTCGATTCATAGTAGTAAGAACTAAGGAATTCCGAGTTCGGTTCAATCTCGATTCGCTGCCATGCTAACGACTTTACTTCTTCTCACAAATATATATTGTAACTTTTAATATGTATGAATAGTAAGTAAGCACTTATGAACTATCTATATTTGTAAGGGTGGCCATGAGGTTTACTGCCAGTCAAGATAAGTAAAATGTTTTGGACGCGGCAAGCAATGACGTCTTTCCGTAAGGCGATGACGTAAAACTATTCCATCACAAAGTGGATTCAACCAGTGGATTCCTGACCACATTGGTGCTGCTATTAATATTTAAGAATATCTCAATTGTCACTGATAAGGATAACAAAACATTGTAAATATTTCTTGCCCAAGTATTAATCAGTGACTTAATTGATTTTGTCATGATTCAGTGTAGTACAAAGTTAATAATAAATTTATGCAGAAATTTTAAATTTCATTGGGTTTCGCCCCGATATGCATTTTCGAAAATCAACGTCATTTTCACTATTTTATATGTAAATGTATCCGATCGGACAAGATATTGGGCCGGTGTTGTGAGGGAGATAGATTTTCAAATGCAATTGATATCGAAATTATAAGTTTGATCGATATGGGGAGATCCTAATAGTTATAAAACAAAGTTAAATATATTTATTTGAATTGTAATATAATAATAATAATACGAAACTCTGCATGCGACAATTGGTGTGCCAATTTGATTTAATCACTGAAATAAAAACATGTACGCATATATGAGTACACAAAATTAAGTTTCAAATACACAATATGTTTTATACATACAGTTTTGAGAATGGGGAAAGTTAACAAGAAAGTAAAAAAAAAACATGATCTTAGTGCGGAATGCACAAAATTGATACTCCAAGTGCGAGTGCGTATATGTATGTATACATATGCATACTGCGTGTACATGCATACATACGTATGTAAATATATGTACAAGGGCATAAGAAAAATAAATGCAATTAGCTATTTGCCATGGCCTGCTCATAGCATAGAGGTCAGTAATATCTATTGTATTTTTAAGGCTTTTTGCGGGTTTAGATATAACTGTATTTGTAATTTGGTTAACTTACATTCAGTTAAGGTTTGGCAGTTGGCTCCAACAAACATACACACAAACAGAACTAGGTGGAGAAAGAGAGAGACCTAACATTCACGCACAGACGGACATGCGCGTATATAGATGCTAGGCATAAAAAATTCCCTCTCTGCTGTGTCAAAATTTAGATCACCCTAAACGTAAGCGCGTCTATTCGCCTGTGCTAATGCTCAGATCAAGTTTGTATACAAATTAATATACACACACATGCCTACCACACCATCTCCCCTTCGCTAAACGCAATTTTAGACTTCGAGCACAAATTACGTCATTCACACACATCACAGATTTAATGTATGTACACAGGTTTGTCTGAATAGTTGTATTGGCTTTACAAAATTCACATAGGTAGCGACTATCTGGTTTTCTAAATCAAATGCATGACAGTTAAAGGCACCACTCATATATATATTTACACAATATTCTATGCGTAACATACATATTAATTAAAATATTGATTTTGTTGCTTTTCTTTACTTAATTTCTATCACCCGACCAAGATGGCAACTGAACCAGCTGGTGAATGTCTGCAGTCTCAGGCCGCGGGATGATATCACTTTCCCTATATACATACATACATACATATATTGGCACCTTCCCTACATGTACATTCATTTGTATGTATCTATATACGTTTGCACACTTACATACTTTCATAGAAAAGCATGATTACATGTTTTTTGTTAAGAAACTGAAATATATTTGTATTCACCAGAAACGGGGAACTTTATATTTGCTTAATTATTATTTATTTACCGAACTTTAATTGAGTTTGGATACTATGTTAGATGGGTGTTGCCACGCGATTTAACCACAACTAGTGAACTGCTGCAGGCAGACAGCAAGAATCAGTGTGCCAACGCCAACACAACGCGACTAAATTATAATTATTTTAAGTACACTAAATATATGTAAACTTGAACATTTAAATTTATTGTATCTACATATGTCCTTTCGCAACAAACTTTGAAATACGCTCGTTACCAGAAATGGTAGTATTTTTATTTTTGCCAACACAACGGGTAACTGGTTTAGTATACACAAATCAACAGTGTGACCAAATTTTTCAAGCGACAAAAACACCATCAAATTAAAGAAGTACGATATTTTTGAGGAACGTTTTTTTCCTAATTTTTAGTATACTATCAAATTGCCATTTTAAGTGATGCCAGATCATCATGGGCAAGCGCTATTCAAATGTATACTCATATGCTTAATTCAGAAACTTTTATCTTTGTGCACATATAAAATTGTTTTAAGAAAAACCGACTAAATTTACTTAAGCTACATTATGAAAGCAACATAAGTCAGATATCAATTAAAAAAGAGACAGGTAATTTTTTCATTGTTTGCTTTCATTTATGATACTTATGATATTAATGTTCTTAATATTTGTATATACACATATACAAATATTATAAAGGAAAGGGTGGTCGAAATCAGTAAGCAAACAAACTGCAAGCCCAGAGGATGTGTCCCAAACTGTAAACATTTAACTCTTAATGTACGTATTCATATTTGTGTGTACGGCATTGCCTACAATCGAATTCGCTTACTAACTGAGAAGGGTTTCATATGAATTACTGCAATTACAGTTTAAATGTACGTCTTTGATATTTTTACTTCATTATAATGTAACGATTTATAAAGTTAAACACTATTCACACTTTTGAAATCACTGTTTTTTTTTTACCTTATGATCAAAACAGACCAGAAACTAAGAAGGAATATAACATTCACTAAGTAATTCGGTGTACTGTGCTTTGATTTGCAAGCCACCCTCCTATTTATAGCCTTTTGAAATTGTTATGTGTATGTGCACGCATTTATACATACGTATCCGAAGTGAAAGAACAGGTAGTCGAGATATTTGTCCTACTTATCGCAGTGCTGAAGTTATCAGTCGTGTGTTTGACTTGATTACGTTAGCACTGCGGCGTTACCTGAGTGATAAGCTCATTAGGAACAATATCATTAACAATGCGTATAATCTGCCGAGATGTGTTTGCATCCATTGATGAGTTTTATTTAATATTGAGTATATAAGGAAATCCATTGCAGTTATGCAGTACATAACTAATAAAATTAAGATTTTAAAGCAAGCAAGAGAAATCTAAAACATCATTTTTTCATTTCATTTCTTTGATACAACCAATGATTATCAACCAACAATTATCATTTAGAGCGATCCTCTAAATTATGGCACTGCTTGAAAGTTACAGAGATTTTAACTAGAGCATTACGTAATACTTAATTCATTTGAATAAATACTTACATATATCGAGCAGAACTGATTTTTGGATAAATTCCTTAAGTACCGAATAGCAAAAGAGTACTACCGCATTTTTTATAAAATTTACATTCAACTAGCAGATGCAAGAAATTTCTCACCTAGCGAAAGCCCGTAGAATATAGCCTGCATACGCGACAGAACGCGTTAAATAATTTGTAGTAAAAAAAGTATTTGTCGACACTTCTTGATGTAAGATCAGTTTTAATGTTTAGCTTTTAGCAATATTTAATTGAGTTTTTATTGTTTTTAAATTATAACAGTGAGTAACACTCTCAGATCTGTAATTAAAACGCATTATTGTCTAGCTAGCATACTTTGAGGCGTAAATAAATCGATTTCGATTAATTTTTTACTTTTTAACATTTATCCTCACTTATCGATGAAAATACAAGCTATCGATAAGGGTCGTGGTGCCTTACCTTATCCGGCATCAAAGCTTCCATTATGACCAAGGTGGCAGAGCGCTGAGTACGCTCTGCTAATTGATAATGTCTAGCGAGAAGTTGACGTCGCCTAAGCGCAACCAAAACTTCGACTACATGCTCAAAACTTGCTAAGACATTTATTCTTTTATACAGGGCACTAACAATTTAAATCCTTAGTTTTAGTTTATGTGAATTACAAGAAACGAAGCATGATAATTTATGTATTTAACCCTTATGCTGTTTCCACTCTATATAAATTACAATTATTCTTAGTATATTAGTATTTTGCTAGCCCTTTATCGATATATCGATATTTTTATAATATAAGTAATAATAGCATCCCTGACTGTGTATGCTGAACTAGTTCGGTTCGCTTCTTGCGACAGTTTCTTATATGTGTCGCTGTCGTTTTCTTCGGCTTTTTTTTGCACATTGTGTATTGATTTTGTTGCATTTAATTCATTGATTTTACTAAAATTTACAACCCATAACAGTTAATTATTTGGTAAGAGTGCATAATGCGAAAAAAGTAAAGTTCGTTTTAATTGATTATTTAATATTTGTGATAAAATGGTACTAAAATTTGATATATTTGTAGAGCGTCCATTGGCAGCATTGCCAGGCCAACCTAAATTTGCGAGCATACATGTACATATACAGTGCGCATTAAAAGTTATTTTAGTTTGCCTTCGTTTCATCCCATATTACTTTTGTAATTTAAAAAATTTATGTTTTATTTTCAGATTTTACAAGAAAAGATGCATTCATGTATTGATTGACTCGGCTAGATTGCTTAATGTCAACAAATATATTGAAGCAAACTTCGCAGATTCAGTCGATATTCACATATAAGTGGTATAAAATATAGCTCTGTGATATGGAAAGTACAGAGTTTACTGGATCAAAAAATTCCTTGGGAGTTGCAGTAGCCGACGAGCTCAACTCTGAACAGATTGTACGCTCTGACAACCAAATTTCTGGGGTCAACTGTTTGGCACGCATCGATATGGACTTAGACGCATATCAAACGGAGAGCATACATCATAACTTGACAAACAATCAGTCAGGGTTTCGTTGGAAACGCGTCCTTAACCCAACCGGTCCCCAACCGCGACCGCGACATGGCCACCGTGCAATAAATATAAAGGAACTTATGGTAGTTTTTGGTGGTGGTAATGAAGGAATTGTGGACGAGCTGCACGTTTATAATACAGGTATTCCATATTAGATCTTGAAGGGTATTTAAAATATAGTTTAGTAATTAGTATTAACTTTAATCACGCATCAAAAATATTTAAGGATGCCGAGATTAATCGAAGTGTCATTTTATTTTCCTTTTTACCTTTTTCTTTTAGTTACTAATCAATGGTATGTGCCGGTGCTGAAAGGTGATGTGCCAAACGGATGTGCAGCTTATGGGTTTGTCGTGGAAGGAACACGCATGTTTGTTTTTGGCGGCATGATTGAATATGGGAAATATTCAAATGAGCTCTACGAACTTCAGGCAACCAAGTGGGAGTGGAGAAAAATGTATCCGGAGTCACCAGATAATGGCTTGTCACCATGTCCCCGCTTAGGTCACAGCTTTACAATGGTGGGGGACAAAATATTTCTCTTTGGCGGATTGGCAAATGAATCGGATGACCCAAAAAATAATATTCCAAAGTAGGTATCAACCAAAATGTAATATATATTTGAATGTGTGCTGATGGTAAAATAATTTTGTCAGGAAGTCAGTATATTATTTTGTATTGCTATTTTTATTTAATAATGTCGCAAACGCAGTCGCTGTTGCAACCCAACAAAAAAATTGGTGGTCCGGTTCACGGTTCATATAACAGTAGCGCAAATTTAGTGTCTGCCAAAAATAGTTTAGTGTATTTTGACTGCTATAGATGCTTTAATTACTAAAATTAAAAAAAATACTAAAACACAATTTATATTAATAGATATCTGAATGATTTGTATATATTGGATACTCGTGGGGTACACAGTCACAACGGAAAATGGATAATTCCTAAGACATTTGGAGATAGCCCTCCACCACGCGAGTCTCACACTGGAATATCCTTTACAAGTAAAGATACTGGCAAGTTAAGCTTGCTGGTATACGGAGGAATGAGTGGCTGTCGTTTGGGCGACTTATGGTTACTTGACACTGGTATTCTAATTAAAACTGAATCTTATCTTTGACTTCTAGCTTACCCGTCCATTCGAATTGCAGATTCCATGACATGGGAAAAACCACGTACTAGAGGCCAAGCTCCACTTCCGCGTTCATTACATAGCTCGACAATGATTGCAAACAAGATGTATGTTTTTGGCGGATGGGTGCCATTGGTGATTAATGACTCAAAAGCGACCACTGAGCGGGAATGGAAATGCACAAACACACTGGCCGTTCTCGATTTAGGTACCTATTTTGCAATAAAGATATAAAGCTAAAGCTTTAAACTAGTTTTATCATCTTCACAAAATATATGAGTTCCGTAATTTTTTGACGTTTCAGTCGCATCTCAACATACATATTAATATTTATATTTGCAGATACAATGATTTGGGAGAATGTCACGTTGGACACCGTTGAGGAAAATGTACCAAGGGCACGAGCCGGTCACTGCGCCGTTGGCATTCAAAGTCGTCTGTACGTATGGTCCGGCCGAGACGGTTACCGCAAAGCTTGGAACAACCAGGTTAGGGTGAGATGATTTGCTATCATAGACTGTAAACTTTGTATAGTGTATATATATATACTAAATAGCGGGTATACCTTGGCCTTTTTCACCCAGTTTCCGCCCGAGAAAAATTTAAGTCGAAGTCTTAAGTATTAATCTTCCTTTGTATAGGTCTGTTGTAAGGATTTATGGTACCTGGAGGTGACGAAACCACTCTATGCAGTTAAAGTAGCACTAGTGCGTGCATCCACGCATGCGCTGGAACTTTCTTGGACGGCTACAACCTTTGCCGCTGCCTATGTGCTTCAAATTCAGAAGATTGACCAAGCGCCAGCGATAGGCAGCACAAAGCAGAGCCATAGTCAGAGTCAGACTCTCATTCAACAACCCACGACCACCGCCAATGGATCCGAAAGTACGCCTTTAGTTGCGTCTGCTGCATTAAAATTCGAAAAAAACCCAATTTCAGTGTTGCATCTCACTGGAGCCAAGAGTCCATCAGTGGGTACTGGGCAGCCTATTACGGCTTTAGTCAAGTCATCCGTTGGACAACCTCAGGCTTTGGGCAGCGCTGTTTTCGTAGCCCAGACGCAGTCGCAAACGCAAAGTAGCCCCGTTCAAGTCAAGGCTGCTGGCTCATTAACAGTGTCTGTTTCCTCGGAAACAACCCCCACAATGTCAACGACAGCTAGCGTGCAGCCACAACTATCGATTATTAGCAGCACTGCATCAAGCATCAACTCGGTAAATAGCGGCAGCGCCATTATTCAAAAATTTCGACCCAGTTCGTCCATTTCTAAGACGTCGTTGGCTGCAACCTTATCATCTGCAACGACTTCTGCCACTGCTTCTCAAATAAACGAGGGTAACATTTGTGGTCAAAATGTTGCTGTTCGTGTAGCAAATACTGCAGCGACCAGTGGATTAGTCCTCACCTCCCAGACATCGACAGGAGCGTTGCGCATTCTTCCTGGTGTGTCGACCAGTACTGGCGTGCCCGCTGGCCAAACACTACGCCTAGCCACAACATATAGCAATACTGCAAGTGGCTCAACCACCACAACAATACTAAAAGCGTCCCAGCCCAGTGCCACCGTGCAGCTGTCAAGCGGCGGATCGCAGACAAGCTCCCCGGCAGCAACGGTTACTACGTCCCTTGGCGGCAAGCAGTATTTCATACAAAAACCACTTAACCTGGCTTCAAATGTACAGCTGCAGTTTGTTAAAACAAGCAGTGGTGGTATGACGGTGCAGACGTTACCTAAAGTCAACTTTAATATTGCAAAGAGTGCTACCCAGGGCCAGGCCATCTCCATTTGTAATCAACAGCTGACCCCCGGTTCTACACAAATTCAGGTAAGCCAATTATAAGCCAATACGATTTACAAATGCTTTATTTATTTTTATTTTTCATAACAAGATTACGTCTGGCAGTAGTGTCCAGTCAAAGACAGTAATGGCTACTGGTCAAAATTTAATGTCGACATCTACTGGAGCGACTGGCTCACATCAGCAATCGCCGCTGCAGCAGCACCAGCAAAAACCAATAGTTTCTGGCAATGTTTTAAAGCTAGTATCACCTCATACAGTATCTGGCGGCAAGTTGATCATGAAGAATTCGAACATTCTGCAGATGGGCAAAGGGGGAAAGCCAGCTTTCGTCATAACCAACAAGCACGGCACTCAGATAGGCAACCAGCAAATCATTATTGTTACCACCGGTGCCAGCTTGCGAACAGTGCCGGCTAGTTCTGTGGTGAGCAGTGCTGGTAGTTCGACAGGCGGTACAAGCATAGTGAGCATTGTTGGTTCGACAGGGACAACGGCTACGCCCATTGCCGTTGGCGGACAGCGTGCAGTAATATCCAATCATAGTAACGTTAAGATGGTTCGCAACATACCGGGTGCCCCTGGTGCTGCTGGGCGACCCATCACTCTGACCTTGCCACAAACATCGTCGTCCGCACATATGTCTGGTAGCTCAAGTCATGTAACGTCCCAGAAACTCACCGCCACGTCACTGCCGCAGAAAACTGCCGTGTATATTGGTGGCAAGCCAGTTACAGTAATGAGTGCAAGTTCCGGCATTGGCTCACCAGCTTCCAGTTCCACAAATAAGTTGGTAATGTTGCCAGGCGCAACGGCTGCGAGAAAGGGCTTTGTTAACATTTTTAACACTGGTGGTGCAAGTGGTCCTGGAGGCGGCCAACGCACATTGACATTGGCTACCAGAAGTGCGCCAGTAAAGGCAGCGGCCGTGCAGCTAAAGGAGAAGGACAACAGTGCTGTTGAGTCAGCGGTTACAATTGCCACGATAGCTGATTCAGCTTGCACCGACACCGATCCTATCGATGATATTATTGAGCAACTAGACGGTGCGGACGACTTACTAAAGCCGCTTACAAATGAAGCCCGAGAACCTGAAGATATTGATGATGATAATGCCGCCGCAACTTCAACATCAACACCGACATTAGTTCAGTCGGCAACGCCTACCACTGGACCGTTAACCATAATGTCTGATGCACAGGACACAGTGACAGAAATTAAAATTCCAGAGACTGTTGACGATATTTCCGGTGTTAGTAGTACTACGGATGTGCAGAAAACATCGAATGCAACTAGAGATAGAAATGCCGTAATTGGAGCACGCGCAGCCGACAATATCGACTCGAATGTAAACATAAATATTCTATTATTGTTTTAAAATTAGATAAAAACAATCATTTTCTGTTTTGCAGTCGGGTTTCCCTGCAGCCGTTACAACCACTGCAACGGACTGCAATCAGCCAACGGCATCTGAGACTGAGGCTGCAAATATATTAACTACTATTAAATCAGGTGAGGCCTTGGGCAGTAGCGGTAGTATTTACAAAGATACTGCGATATCAACTACAAGCGAATCCGACTTAGACCAAAACCCTTTATCGATTCCCGTTCTCCGGCAGCATCATCACCAAAACGGTTAGTATAGCTCCCCACTTCCATACAAGATTTTTTTATTTTATTCTTTTATTCAATATTATAGTAGACGGCTCTCATTTGGAGGCCCTTGCTTCTGCAGCTGTAATGCAAGCGGCCACCGCTTCAGCCGATTCAAGTCAGGCAGCCAGGAGCCTACTTGATAACTCGTCAGCCGCCCATCTCAGCAGTATAAGCTACAAATCCACTGAACAACAAAAAAACAGCAATGACAACAATGTAAGTAATTCCAATTTGACTGTTTAGTGGTGAAATTAAGGAGTCCAACACTTTTACGCTTGTCTTTTCGTACCTTAGGTCCCTGTCACCGTTCCTAATACAATTGACGACAATGATAAGTGGCATACGGTGGGCATATTCAAGGAACTGTCACATACTGTAACTAGCTATATTGATTATAAGTACTTTAACGAGGCTCAGCTAGAAAATTTTGACGCCGATAATCTGCCAGACTTAGCTCAATATCCGCGCATCAGTTTGGATCCAGGAACCGCCTATCGTTTTCGTCTAGCTGCCCTTAATACATGTGGTCGTGGCGAATGGGGGGAGGTTTGTTGTTTTTTTTCTCTACGACCACGAGTTAAGCAAGTTCAAAATATTTTTGAATTATTTTTATTTTGTTTGTTAGATCTCGAGCTTTAAGACCTGCCTACCTGGTTTCCCTGGCGCACCGTCGGCCATCAAGATATCCAAGGATGTTAAAGAGGGTGCACACTTAACTTGGGAACCTCCTCCAGCGCAAAAGACAAAGGAAATAGTTGAGTACTCGGTTTACCTTGCCGTAAAGCCCACTACGAAAGACAAGGTGGCATCACCACAGTTGGCTTTTGTTCGCGTTTATGTTGGGGCGGCAAACCAATGTACAGTACCCAATGCATCGCTTTCTAACGCACATGTTGACTGCTCCAATAAACCGGCTATTATCTTCCGAATCGCTGCGCGCAATCAGAAGGGATATGGCCCAGCGACGCAAGTCAGATGGCTACAAGGTAAAATATTGATTTCCAAATTTCTCTCCTGAATCTTTATTCAATATTCAATTCTTAGATCCGACTACAACCAAGCTGCAAGGTGCCGCAAATACGACTAGCTTAAAGCGTACCCAGGAAAAGACTGCCGCATCTCCTGCAAGCAGCTACAGCTCACCGCAAAAACGTGCACGCAGCACTGGTCTGCAGGGCATGGAATGATTATCATCTACATTTCAAAGCTAATTCGAAAATAAATTGTACAGTGTCCTCAGTAGTAACAGGATCCAGTTGGAAATGCTGTTAAAAAGGCTTCCATTAGAAAAGGATTCTCACCACCGTCAATAATAGACAAGAAAGGGCGTGGTAAGACGTATTAGTTTAAAATTATTATATGCCTGCATGCTATATACACATGTTGTTTTAAGTCCGAAAGTCGAAAGTAACACACCAATTGATCCATATTGTGAATAAACATGAATTCTAAACCATAAGCTTGCGTATATATAATGCCCAAATTACTTATAATAAAATTACATAATAAATTACAATAGTAAAAAGTACCGTTGGTTCTTTTTTATAATTAAAATTTACTCAGTAATTACAGAACTTGGTACAAATCTGTTGTTTTCAAGGGTATTTAATTTTCGGCATCAGATGTAAAATAATGAAACAACGAGTGATTTTTTGGCGATTTAATTACATGTTATACTTATAAGTATATACATATTTTAATCTTATTGCATACCTTCTTTATACACGTTCAAAATGAAGATTTATATGTTGTGAATGTTTCTAGTTATGGTTAAGCACAGTCAAGACTTGAATTCTGTTGCACATGGATTGTGAACATAATTCCGGCAATCTGCGATGCAATTTAATTTCAATTACTTAGCTAAAGACTCAAATTCCAACTGGATTTCGGATCGTATCGTAGCAATAATCTTAGTTCACAGAGTATTATTTTAATCTTTTGCAATATACAGACGTACGATTTTATTACATTTACATGCTTTATAGAGAGCTTCACAGGAAAATAATTACGCAAATTTTGTGACATAGTAGCGTCGTACTACTCAAAACTATTTACTTTCCTTTTTATTTCAAAAATATGTAATAAAATCTGAAATATTTAATGAAATTTGCTAGAACTATTGAATACTCTCATATTTTGTAGATTAATGACTAAATAAATGCATAGATTTTCTAAAATTATGGAAAATTATAAATGCTTTTGGAAATCTTATTGAACGTTCTTCTTTTTTTAGTACAATAATATAAAAAAAATGGAAAGCTTCGTAGTGTAAATATAACTTTTTCTGAATACATATACACTCCTTACCTAACTATACGACACCTAAAAAATTGATTTTTAAGTATAACATTAGAAAAATCTGTAAGTACGAATTGAAGGACAAAGCATAACGTCTAGAACTGAGTCGTTGGTGTTTTCGGCGTAATGTTTTCAATTAAATGTGCCCCAAACATTCTCTATTCTTCCAGTCTATTTAATTAACGGAACATATTACTAAGAACGTTTCAGTTTGCCGACTTGAGTCACAGGGCACAGTATCCTGCTTATTACTCCCTATTTTCCTACAAAAATGTTAAGAGGCTATTTTCTAGTACATTTATATACCATGTGCTGTTAATCCTAGTATTTGGAAACGCAAAAAATGCGGGATTAAACTTCATTTCGTCACAAAAGATTACCTAAAGCAAAAGAAAATAATTGAAATGTCGAAGATAAAAGATTTTTACCTCCTTTACCTCATTAAAAAATGATATACCCTTTAAAAAATCAAAATAAAATATGATATATTAATAAAGAACTTTTAAGCGAATGGTGTATATTGCAACTATTCAAAAATATGAGCATATCAAATAAAACTAACGGTAAATTTTCACTTCGTAATCATAGATTTTCCAGCGTTTGAAATGTAAAAAGGTTTCCCTACCCTTTCAGTTCGGAATATCAGAAAATACGTTCTCAGAGAATTTCTAAATTTATATTATGCGCAGATCAATCTTGTTTCCAGTAATCGATAAGTAACAATAAACCCAGAAGTTATTTAAAAATACACTTTCCCTATGGAAAGTATACTATATGGGTCCGGTTTGGGAAATCTAGTCCGGTACCCAGTATAAACTTCTAGAATTACAACTCATTAAAATATAATTGTTCGGTTTTTTATATGTGTGTATTAAACACCGACATTTAGCTCTTAAGTATTTTGTGAACTTTAGTTTAGATTTCACTTAAAATATGCGGTATTTTAAGTACATGCGTACAATAATATATTGTACATGGTGTTTTTGTTGGTATGTAGACTAAAGTATGTTCTATGTATATACAATACATGTGCATTTTTTTACTGACTTGCAGATAAAGCACATAAGCAGATACACATAAAAAAGTACACATATTTTCCCATAGATGAGTAAATTTATGTTTTTACTATTTTTAGTCTCTTTCTGATGTACTTATCTCCCAGAGAGTCATTAGTGGACTCTATACGAAAATCACAGCAACGACACAGATCCGGATTCAGTTCGTTGTACTGGGTGCTGATGATACAGGGAGAAATACGTGACGCCAAAATTAATGCTGGTGTTCCCGTTGAGGATAGCGATGTGTCTTCTGGTACTGTGTAAATTCGCTTAGACTTCATGAGTTGTGTGAATTCGGTTGTTGCTCCTGTAGTGATTGCGGGTGCGGTTGCGGGTGGGGGTGCGGTGTTTGGTTCGCGTTCGATTGGAAACGATGCGGCGATGAGTGCAGTTCACTGCCATTGATCTGCCGCTGTTGATGTGCTGAGGATTCGCTTTTTATTGTGCTGGTAGACGTCGAGTTAGCGTTGCCACCATTCGTAGCGGCCACCGAGGCAGCCAGACGAAAAGCGGCCTCAGTATGGGAGCGCAATATCGCCTCGGCTTGTTGATGCATTCGCAGTGCCGTCTCAGGATGGTGGGTATGTTGAGGATGTGACGAAGCCTGCTGCGAACTGGGTGTCACTGCGTGCTGTGAGTAATTGGACGCTTGGTGGTGTTGATGATGAAGTGCTTCCATTTGATGCATGCCACCCAAACCAGAATCCAAAGAGCCGCGCATCATGCTCATCATGACGGACGATGTGTCTGTCTGCATTTGTATGCTTGGAACGTTTATAGTCGGAGATCGCCGAGTGTTATTATTGCTAGGATGCGTCTGTTGGTTGCCGAGGGGAGACAATAATGGCAGATGGGGCAGCTGTTGTTGATGGTGAGGGTGTTGGTGCTGATGCTGCGCCTGTTGCTGATGGTTTTGCTGGTGCAGCTGGTGCTCGCCAGGCTAAAAGTAGCAAAAGGAGAATTAATTGAAGCTCTGGGTTGTAGCCGATCCGTTTAAAAGTCTTACCTGTTGTTGGTGATTTGTCGGATTGTTCATGCGCATGGCGGCAGCCAGGTTGACAACGGCCGCCTGGACTACCGCGCTGCCCGGTCCGGTAGATGCTGCGTCTATGGTGCCATCGTGTGACCTTGAGCCAGCTGAGGCCGCCACTGCCGCAGCAGCGGCTGATGCAGCTGCCATTAAGGACATTCTGTTAGCATGCAGCTCGGCATCCATACTGTACTGGCTGGAACTGGGCAGTCTCAACTCGTTCAAATTGATTTTATTTGAACTACAGTTGTTATTATTATTGTTAATGATATTATTATTGTTGTTAACGCTGCTATTATTATTGTTGTGACTGCTATTCTCATTTTCACTTAATCCCTGATCCTGTTCCTGATCTGATGCGGATGACGAGGACAGGCGTCCATTCGACGAACACTCCGAGTTCGCTGATGGCGAGGGACACAATGAGTTAGAGCCGCCCGGGTTTACTCCCAACGGTAGCATACTTGCAGTCTCTCTGACCCCGCTACTCGTTGAAGAAGCAGCTAATGTTGCTGCTAATAGGGATTCGCGTTCGCGTTGCTCTGCCGCCGCTCGAGACTGAAACAAAAAATTCAAAATGCGTTGTAATTTAAAATAATTGTATATTTTATTTCATTTCGATTATGATAATTCTAGCTCAATTTGCCATGCCGCCAGTTGTCAAAAATTATTACATTCATATGGATTCAGACGGACCGAGGGCAAGACAGAGATTGCATAAAATCAATATACTCTTATCACTTCGTTGAAGGGTATACACCGTTTGTGTTAGCATTGTGACAATGGACGAGCTATGTGTCAGCCGTCTCCACGTCCATTAGTGTATACGGATATTAATTTTACTACTTCTTTTTTAAGAGCAGAATGTTTGGTATATTCCATACGGCACCATTCAGGCTGTAGAGTGTCAATTAACTGTCAAATAATAACAATTTAGAAATGTATTTATTTTTTAGCCCTGATCTTATCTGTGTGAGTGTGTATGTATGCGGGTGTATGTATGTATGTTTACATATATACAAACAAACATGCATACATATATATGTATACAAACATCCATACATGTTTATGCAGATATGCACACAAACATATATGTATGCATGCATATATTTATATATATAAGAATTCATGCATACATACATGTATGTATTTATGTGTATGTATATGGATAAATGGGTTTGAAAACGATCCAAAAAAATCACATATTTGTAAATTTGTTTGAATAAGGCCGTATGAAAAATTATTATAGGATGGTTCAGCTACCTAGCTCTAACGGTTTGGATTGTCCTTTCATAACCAACCAGTCACTTAGTCACTTAGTTGCGTAAAAACTTTCTTATACATATAGATTAATATCATAAATACTGAAATTAGCCAGCGCGAGTGTACATACCAGAACGTATTGCGCCGCAAACTGATGTTTGGGATCCATGCGCATATGGTCCATATGGGTAAGAAGACCTGAAACACAAAAAATAATCAGATGAATTGTATTGTTAAATAAACTAATCTGAGTAATTTAAGCTCTTGTCATAACTATAAAAGCTTTTTGCTTGAGGTGTTAGACATCAATTTCAAGCCGATCGAACGGTTAACAGTTGAATATAACCGTTTTTCGCCAAAGTTGAGGATGGTACTATTAAAATAGATGTTTTGCCTATTTATTCAGTTTCTATGTAGAGCTTTGAAAATAAGGTCAAGTCCGACCAGGAGAGAGAACAAGAGATGAGAACAACTAATGCCATAATATTTGATAGAAGAAGGTAGAAGAAGGCTAAAGGTATCTTCTAGTTGGGTATTCCAGACTAGAGCACTCTTACTTGCTAGGAATGAGTTTTCCAAAGACGAGTCATTTTCGTTTGAGCTGTACATCAGTTAGTCGGTCACTCAGTCGGACCACACAGCCGTTAACTTACCGTTTTCGTGCGTGAAGACTGCCTGACAGACGGAACATGGCCACATGCGCAGACTGCTTGTCAGCTGGGAGGTTTCGGCATGACAAGCCAAGTGCTTGCGTAAGGATCCCTCGTTGACGTAGTGCTTGCCGCATACGGGGCAAGGGTGGTTCGCAGTTCTACGTTTGCCGAGGTAGCTGTCATTCAGGCTGGATCCGCTGGTTGTCGATGGTTGGGCGCAGCTTAATTCGGACGCGCATTGCGCTGCTAGCGAACCGGGCCCAGCACCACCGTTGCCGCTGCCACTATGGATACTATCACCGAATTGAGCAGCTGTGAAGAGAAAATATGATTGAATGTGATACCTAATGAAATGAAAATCCTTTTATGTGTGATTTCTTACGTGGTTCGCTTGGCGTCGGCGACTTTTCTTTGTGGACATGCTTCATGTGGTCCAATAGCGCCTCGGTGCCGAGAAAGAGCTTGTGGCATACCGGACATGACGTCGCATTGGGCCCACCAATAAGTGCCGCATGCTGCTGCAAGACACCAAGATGCAGCTGTAGCTCCTGAGGTGAGGCGATATGGGTTGTCATGAGATGCCAGTTTGCATTTGGTGCGTGCATTAAAAGAATTGATGGCAATGGAAGTGCGTTTAGCAGAGGGCAGAAACACAAAAGAAATGAGCGATTTGAGTTTGAAGTTCTGTTATTTGTTTGTTTTTTGTGTTTGTATTTTAGGCTTGAAACTAAACAACGGTGCGGGTGCTGGTCGATGCTTAACACGATAGACATCGCTTTAAACTTCCAAACGGTACTCACCTTGGATGTGTGCGTGCGCAGGCTGGACTCTGTCGCGAAGCCCTTGCCGCAAATATTACAATGAAAGGGCCGGTTCTTGGCTCGCTCCACCTGGGCATCGTGGTTTCGCAAGTGCTGCTGCAGGTTGGAAAGCTGTATGAAAGCTCTACCGCAGTCCGGTAAGTGACATTTGTACGGTCGCTCTCCTGCAAATTTTCAACATTTAGTTTGAACTAGAGATATTCATTTAGTTTGAAAATAATCTATACTCCAGTTATAAAAACAATTTAAGATATACATACGTTCCAACTCTCACGCAATTTTTATTTTAAATAAGTTTTGCGAGATTGAGTTCATAATACCCCAAATATAATTAAAACCGTTATGGAAAACTTGGCGAAACATATGAAAGGATAATTCCATTATGCTGCTGGTTGGAGCTGGCGACCGGCTGGCGGTTCACATGCTACAATCTGGCTAGCTAGCGAGTCAGCGCAACTCACGCAATCGATTCCATTTGCTAATTATGCTCGTTAGGAGTTGGAGGAGATGCTGGTGGCTACATGCGTGTTTATATGAAGAGCGTTTCCATAATACAGAATAATATACAATATCCATTTGAAAAGGGTTGCAAAGAAATGATTTAGAAGCATATCTCAATAGATACACACTTCAGTCTTTTGCGTATATCTGAAAAATTTTAAAAGTATAGACATCCAACTGAAACTAAAAGCAATAATGGTCAGCCGAATGTGACAGACTAAAAGGTCTGCTGAATACAGAACCTAAGTGGCCAAATATCATCTAGGCATAGCCCTAAAACAAGGTATAAGATCTTAAATGTTTCCATAATTAAACACTTTGCGTTGGGGATGCGGGTGTTGTAACACTCTCAGACACTTGAATACTTTAACGTCTTAAACGTGCAGTATACGGCACAGAGCTGTAATTGACTGATTGACTTCATTTTAACAAGATTAAAAGAGAGCGCTAGAAAATGATGTCGCAGACAGCGACAGTCAGTGGGAATCCTTTCAGGGTCGCAACGCATCGCGTCGTTGCATCTTTTCGTTGGGCAAGTCTCTTAAATGGTAAGCCTTTCGAAAGTTGGAGCTATGCAGCAATTACGTGTTTCAGATTTGCAAGAAAATTAATTTCATTTGAACGCGCAATTAAAAGAAAAAGTGGAAGGTCAGTAGCGCGGAACGGTCAAAAACGGTGTAGTACGGATAGTTGGCAACGCCAAAAGGACTAAACCATTTAAGCTACTTAGAGTCACTTTGCTTGGAAGCGACACCTACTAGTAAATGCAAATAAATAGCAACAAAGTGCAGTCTTTTAGATGAAACTGCGGTCGCGAGCACACTGAATGCCTTGGAGCCCCCCAACTCCAATAGTAGCGACAATAACCCGTTCGGAATTGCGTTGCCCGATGTCGGCGGCAGTTGCCACAAGTGTTGCCAATACAGCTATTTTCTAGCTAAATTTGACTGTTGAGTGGTCGTTAGCCAGAAAATGTTGATATTATCGAGTGCCTTCTGGATATTTTTTAGCTTTTGCGAAAAATAGTTGACGCCCAATGCAGTGGGACTTATTTGGCAGCATGTATTTTAGCGTTCACTTTATTTTTATTATGTGGCATGTCAATAACTACCCTGTTTGTTGCTAATGGATTCAATCTGTAAAATAGTAGGACACAATATAAACAAGAGCTTCGGGTAATAACCTGAGTGATGCTGACTTCATGCAATGCATTTAAAAAAGTGTGACTAACTATACAAAAACATTTTGTACCTACAAAATTATTTAACCTAAAATCGCACGTATTTACGTAAAAACAGAAGGCAAATTTTGAATGAATTGCCCAAACAAGCAAGTTAACCTGTCGAACTGTTAAAAGCAGCCAGCTCTAATACTACGTACGACCTCGACATTTTTTTTAGCTGCTTTCAAATTGGCTTTAGCTAATTTTTTGCAGCGAACGTTGGCAACACTGGTAGCCACAGCAGCAACTCTTTACACCTAGCAGCACGATGCCGCCCTTTCTATTTGAACAACCACTTAAAGAGCCTTAAAGTATGCAAAGGGCCGCGTGAATACGTGCTTGCAATGGAATTCCGTGACTGCCGCCTAGAAGCTTGCCTTCTGCGGCTTTTGCTTATATAGCGAACGGAGTGGACAAGTGAGAGGGGCCGTGGCCGGCTGCCTAATAGCCTCTTCATTATCTGAGTTGTTGATGTTGACGCTGGTCCTGATGCTGATGCTGATGCTGTTTAGCCTCTTAGATCGCTGCGCGACAACGGGCCGTTAGCATTGCATTGTCTAATTACCAAAGCCCAAACCGAAACCAAAGCCAAATCTAAGCCCAACACCAGGCCCGAACCGGGAATACCAACTCCTCATACATATCTAGCTGAAGGTCGTCGCTTTGCTTTCATTGACGATGCCGTTTTCGGTTGCAGGGTGCAAACTGGTTTTTAATTAAAGCGTATTTGGTTTTTTTTCAGCATTTGAGCATTAAGAAAAGAAGGGAAATGAATGCTAAAAGAAACAAGAAACTAAGCATAAAAACTGAAAAAAAAAAACAACAAAAAAATTGTAATTGTAATGTTTCAATCAGGTGTGAATATAATTTGCTTCAACTAAACGGAAGACGCTGGGAAACAATGTGAGATCTTATGTAAAAAAAAATCATCGCTTTCAATGCGGCTAATGACGTTGAATAATTTCCGACGGCTAGTCCATCCCTATTCCCATTCCGATCCTGAATTATATTGCTATTACTGTTCCCATAGGTATTTTTATTTCACTGTAGTCGCAGCTGGCGTCGACCGAAAAAGTCGCGACGAAAAGCACTCAAAGTTTATTTAATTATCATTGTCATTTTGTCATTTTATCATTTTGTCATTGGAACTCCTAGATTTGACGAGTCTGTATTCAGAAAAGAAAATATTTGCTGTACTCTGGACCATGGTCGCTGGAAATGCAATGCAGAGTAGCCCTCAACTGAGAATGTCGAGTGACGTACAGAAAGAGCGGGTGAAAGAGAAAAAGCTAAATGGGCGATAACAGTGGCTATGAAAGTGCTCTGGGCGTTGTGGCATTCTAGAGCCGATATAGTTGCAGTGTAGAGAAAATATTTGTCGGTATTTTTAATAAAAGATTAAGTAAAATCAAAAAATTATATAGTGTTGTTCGTACAATGTGTAAAAACAGTTAGATATGCTTTATTTGACAGTTAACGACAAAAGGATACTCTGCACCCAGTTTCGTGGTAAACAAAACACAATTAAATTAAATTTTTAAATTGTCTAAATCTTTGTACTATAAGATTATGAAATAATCAAAAATGAGACCCGCTTTAATGCAATGGACAAATATCGATTGGCAGTCTGACTTTTTAGCCAAGCTCGGATATGTTGGGAGGTTAAAAAGCCAAGGCACCTAACAAATATTTGTTTGCCTTAGTAATTGTAATTTTGAATTTCGGTCTAGAATATTAATGTCGCTAAACATGAATTCGTCCCACATTGCAACTGTTTTAGGGGCGTTTAAATTTGTCCAAGAGTACTGAACAATTTCATCAGCTTTGTAATTACGAGGACTAGCAGTGAAGAAAAAATATAAGTAATAAGCACATAATATGAAATCAAGCTTGTACCAGAGAAAGCGCAAATTGTAATTAGAAAAATGTAGAAATTGGTTGGGAATTGTGTATGAGGCGGCTAAATACTTAAGATATGAACACAGACCTTTAATGTCTCAGCTGTGGATGTTCCTTTTAATTTATGTATGCTTTCATTATTGAGGTAGTGGAAAGTATTGGAAGCCAAAAATGAGTATATTTGCTGTATTGCTTAACCAGAAGATGAAGGACCAGAAACAATATCCTATGGTTACTTCTGTTTAACTTTTGGGATCCGAGCTCAACCTATTTCATTTGGTTTTCCTGTTTACAAGCTATTTTAAAATAAAATTAAGCCCTGAATATCTTAAAATCTTGTATTACTTTAATTAAATGTGTAGAGTACAATGTCCGTCGGCCCACCTGTCCGTTCGTCCGTTGTTCGACTGAGTAAACGTGTAGATTTCGGAATCTACAAAAGATAAAGACTTGAAATTCAAAATATATTTTCTTCTTTACATACGTTAAAATAGTTCAATTTATTTGTTTAATATTATGGTTGTTAAGGAATAACTCAGAAACTACTTATAGGCGCTAGATAAAAGGAATTGGCTCCTTTAAAGTATACACCGATAAGGTGTATACCGTTCCCTCCAAAATTTTTAAAACTAAAGTGGGAGCATTGCGAATTCATTGCATTATGATTAGACAATAAACACCAAAGTTAATCACGAACGTATTTCCCATGTGGGGCCTATAAACATAGTGCATATATGTGTGTTTTTGTTAACGTATGTATCGGCGCGGGAATTTGTGTCTTTTAGCCTGGCACTAACGAGGACCCTTTCTTCTTACTCTTGCTTTTCTAATGAGAGTTGTAATGAGGTGACGCGGGAATTCTTATTTTCGCTGCCATTTTAAATCTTCGTCAATTTATTTTATCATCAATTTTATTAGACTTGAGACTCGAGATGAGCAACGCCGCTCAATTTGTTCTAGTATTATATAGCTTGGTATGAGAGCGGCTTATTAAAGAATGGACCCTTTCTTCTTACTCTTGCTTTTCTAATGAGAGTTGTAATGAGGTGACGCGGGAATTCTTATTTTCGCTGCCATTTTAAATCTTCGTCAATTTATTTTATCATCAATTTTATTAGACTTGAGACTCGAGATGAGCAACGCCGCTCAATTTGTTCTAGTATTATATAGCTTGGTATGAGAGCGGCTTATTAAAGAATGGTTAAAAAACATTATATAAGCTTTAGAACGTTGTATTCTGATTGTAAAACATTTGTGCATTTTCCCCTAAACCCCCGAAGATAATTTTTTTAATTGTTGGTACTACTAGTACTTACCGGTGTGCAGTCGCGTGTGCTGCTGTACGTGGGATAGCTGCTTAAATCTACGATCACAGTAGGAGCATTTATAGGGCTTCTCGCCAGTGTGGACGCGTATGTGCTGCACAAGTTGATGGTTGCTGGAAAAGCTCTTCATGCACTGCTGGCACTGGTGTGGCTTTGTTTCTGCGCCAGGCGTTGTACCGCTGCCCATGCTAGCCGTGCTGGCCACGCCGTGCGCTCCCAGTCCGACACGAGGAATCTGTTGTTGGATTTGCTGCATGGCGCTCTTGTGCATGAAAAGCTGGAAAATGAAATTGGACGAACATATCGGTTACAAGCGATCAATCCTGTTTTGCAGCGACTATTGTAGTATACTCATACGCATTGGTATGAAATCGTTTCGTATGTAGGACCTATATGTATTTAAAAAATATGTATATCAAGAGAATGCACATAGTCATGCGTCTGTTTTTACTCTGGACACTTGCGATTGTCACTTTGGTTAACAATATTTCAAAATTTAGATGCATATTTTGCAGAATGTTTTGGGTGTCTACTTAATTTTGTAACTATTGTCAAGGTTAAGCGCTGATTTGTGAGTGTGTATATGTATGTGCACATAATATTTAATTGTGAGTTGGGAAGAATATATCGACTTTCAGCTACTACCTTCACGCACAAACTGCTGTCGCGTCTTTCTTTCTAGGGTCATTTATAGATTGTTAAGAAGCTTTTCCACAACTATTAGCATTCTTTTTTTCTTACTTCTTTTTTTAACCAATTTTTTTGTTGAATCTTATTATAAAAATGTGTATAGTTGCATGTCGTACAAGACGAAAACAAGTCAGCAAAACACTTCTCGATGTTTGTTTTTTTTTTAAATTTTTTGTATAAACAGATAAAAGCCAGAACGAGACATATCTATTATATGAATATTAATTGGACTGTCGAAGATTAAATGCTCTTACAGACATATATAAGATGATCTATTTTTTGTCTTGTCTTGCTCCAATGTAAGCTATATAAAACGGTGATCCGTGTAGGAGCTTACTCAGATGTTTATTTTAATTTTTTGTAAGCAGATAAAAGTCAGAACGAGACATATCTACTATATGGATATTAATTGTACTGCCGAAGATTAAATGCTCTTACAGACATATATGAAATGATCTATTTTTTGTCTTGTGTTGCTCCAATGTAAGCTATATTAAACGGTGATCCGTGTAGGAGCTTACTCAGATGAAGATAATAATAATTAAGTTCATAATTTGTGAATTTCTGCTGCGTATCACATTTTGCGTAAAAATAACAATACCCTATGCAAGCGAATTAATAATTGTGTATAAGTAAATGGGCATTTTGGATCAAGCCAAAAAAAACTTTCTGCTGATTTTTATAAAATTTATTGTGACCGTTTAGTGCTCACAAGCAACAATAATCAAAAAAATTCAAGACTCATAAAGTAACAGAAGACCTTCGGTTTCCTCGGGCGATACTTTTATAGGTTTAGATGGAAACTTTCTGATAAGATGCGTAAAACAACATATACATTTTTTTTCGTATGCTGTCACAGATGTGTTCCAAGTTACAAATCTATAAGGTTCTTAGATAAAATGTTGATACCAAAGCAGTGTTTTACTCAGTTCTTTTGTTTTTTTTTTAACTGAGACCTTTGATTGCAAGTTTTTATGAAGGTTTTAGGTAAAAGGTATATCAGAAATTAATTTTATTAAATGCATTAAATGCAAAATTATTTTAGGCAAATACTAGATATTAAACATGTGTTGCACTTCTTAAACTTCTTTATCTCTATATATACAACTGTTTGTACTGTAACTGTAATAATATGAATGATTATTGAAGAACTTCGACGTTCGAGAAGTTTTAAGGGCATAAATATGTCTTTAAAAATTAGGAAAATTTAGGAGAGTACCCAAGTTTATCTAGTTACGTGTGAGCAACCAACAAAAACTCATACTCCAATACCGATAATACACCTTAAAAATCCACAAGAAATATGGTCGTAGGTGCGACCGGAGTATAAGCAAGAGGACGATGGCGATGGTAAAGCATACACAGGCAACCGGGCAACCAGGCAGGCAGGCAGTCAGACAACCCGCGTGCGGTGTTCTCTGGTTGGTTGGTCGCCAACAGTTTGTTTGCACTCCCGCCGATTCGCTGCTGCCGCTCGTCATTTGTCCGAGACTCTTTGCCACTGCAGTTTTTATTCATTTGGCGAGCGCAGCCATGACACAGGTCCCAGTCCGGCTCCTTCGCTCCTTCGTCCTTTGCATCGCATAAAAATGGCGAGTACTACGGACAGCGCTGTCCAGCCACTAGCCAGCCAACGGCAGTTCTGCGAATCGTCGGCAAATGAGAGTGCGATAATAGGACGGCCGTGTACAAGTGTGTATGAGTGCGTAGAGGGGTTAAGAGGAATGCGAATATGGAATGTGAAGTGGACGAGGGTCAGTAGATTGTCGTTGTACAGGGGAAGTACGACTAGCCGAACACAGAAACCTTAAAAGTGTACATATACTACATAGATATGTACCAATTATTAAGCATATAAGAATATATTATGTACATAAATATTCATATAAATAAATGCATCAACATTTTGATAAAACATAAACTTTTAAAATAATTACAAGATTTTCGACGTAACCGAATATCTAATCTATCTAGAAAAAGCTCCTCATATCAGGTTTTTGACGATATATTGAAAATACCATGTACATAACTTTATTTCTAATGCTTTTATAATCCCAAATGCGGAAGTTGCTTTGATTAATAGTATACTGCTTGTCTGATACATACAAATCTAAGTAATTCAAGACCGAGTGCTGTGAGTATCTTCAAATTATGAAGTCTAATATTTGAAACTCTTGTAGATCGACCAAGAGATTAGCTGTGGATCAACTAAAACAATTGAAACATGTATATTATTATCTACTACAAAATGTGTACCACCAATTTTAGTTTAATATGTGCATTATATTACTCTGTACTGTGTACTGTGTATGTGCATAAGCATATTTGTACTTAGGTTCTACACTACATACATATGTATGTAAAAACTACATACATATACTTTTTTTAAATTTCTTTTGCACATTTTTAACCGCTCTCTTTCTCTGTTCTGTTTTGCAGTATCGTTTTTTCTAATTCTTCAACACACGCATGAGGGATGGATGGCAGAGGGGTCTCTGCGCCAATGAATATCTACTGTTGGCCTCGTCCTCCTTCTACGGTGTCTGTGTGTGCTGCCTACCAGTGAGCTGTGTGAGTGTGTGAGTAGTTTGAGGGTAAGATATGGTACACCCTATAGGGGAAGAACGACGGCAGGGGGTAACGGTAACCGTATGCCGCTGCTAATAGAAAAAGAACGAACAAAAAAAACGACAGTGGTCGAAGGCGAGCAAAATGAAAATGGTTGCAAAAAATGTTGCTTGGCTGAGGGGGTGAACGAAACAAAATGTGTGTGCATCTACTCTTGTTTTTCTTCGAATTTGTATGAACCGCGAGGGTGGAACAATCCCAGACATACCACACACTTACACACAGACGCACACAGGTTATTCGTTCCTTTAACATGTCTGTGCGTCCTTCGACATCTTCATGAGCTTTACTAAATACACATATAAATACTGTGTGTATGTATGTATGTGTATGTACATATGTATATATATCTCTGTTTGTCTGTAAGTATGTACATATGTCTGTTTATATGCATAAATGTCTGCATGCGTTTCTGTTGGTGTGGCAAAACGGATTTTGTTTTTGCTAAGAATTTTAAATTATCTTGGGATGTCGCCTTAACACCCTTCCCACAACACTCGTCACGTGAGGGTCCGTTTTTATAAAAAAAATGTGGGTGTAATTTGGATTTGATGCAAATTCTGTACACATCAAAGGACAAATTCAAATTCATGTAACAAGCAGAAAAATACAAGTTCGATTTTTTTAAGTAAATACATATCTTATATATATATATATATATATATATATACTAGCCGGGTATAACCCGGCCTTGCCCGTGGCCCGTATATAATAATCGCTTTGAAAATGATTCTGAAACTGATCGGACGGTAAACAAACAACTTACAAACATACAAACGAATTTGAGGGCGAAACGTCACCCACCAAATCTTTGACCCCCATTTCTACCAAGGAGGGATGGATTATCCAATAAGTGCGAAACACCCCTCCAATGAATTTGAACAAATATCTTTGAAAATTAATTTGAGGCCGATCGGATGGTAAACAAAAACGTTTCAAAGAAGCTTTTTTCGCGATTTTTCCTCACTTGCGTGTGGAATTTCCCGAACTGCTTGTATTAACGTATAGATCTCAAAGATATTTAAAGATTTGGGAGCTTCATATACATATCACTGACTCACTGATGTATTTGCACATACATATGTATATAATAAATAACAAATATATCTATGTTGTGTGTGTGTGAAGGAGGCTTGTGTGGCTTGTCTTTTGATTCAAAATACAATCTTACCGCTGATGTATCAAAGATTAAGAAAAACAATAAAAACCAAACAAACCAAATCAAAAAAATTAAATGCATTTACAAAAATTATATTTATTGATCAATAAGTACATTACGCATTAAGAACTTGTCTAAGTCCATCATACAGTGTCTGATGTCCAAATGATAACGGATCAAAGCGTTCGATTAATTCTACGCTAATCGATGACTTAGTATAATGGCATTATGCCTTGATTTAAGAATTGCAACTTAAAATAATTAATAAATAACTTGTTTGTGTATGTATGTGCGGGTGTATAAGGGGTATGTATGTATAAGTCTGAATGTTTTTGTTTTCAATCATCACGTGTAAACACATATATTTTAATATGTATTCACGTCTTCTTCACGAAGTTGCGATGAAATGTTTCCTTGTTAATGGTTTCTAATAAAAAGAAAGCCAACAATTGTCTGTATTATAAAGCTAGAATCCCTAAAATTGTAATATTTATATAGTTGTGCAGGTTCCTTTCAGACAAAGTTCGCCGGTTCAGTCATCGTTTGGAAGTCACCGGTTCAGAGTTGTAGTTTTGGAAACACCAACCCAATTATCAAGAAGACTATTTTCTACTTATTCTATGAATTAAATTTATATTTACAGACGAAATAATAAAAACAAGTACGCTCAGCAAAAAGTTGGAAGTCTTTAGAAATCATGCTCTCGGGTTGATACGTTTTTCAATTTTATCTCATGTGCTTAAAGTAGTTATATATGTATGTAAGTATGTATGTATGGAAAGATGTGCATGTACATGTGATATTTTGTGTCTTCAACGTGGAAGAGTACTATACACAACGGAAGAGATGCCAACTCACTCGTTGCAGGGTTGACCAACATTCTTCAAGGGTACGTTCACTGATCGCTGCTGCGCTACTGGACCTGGAGAGCTGAAGCTGCAATGGTACAATCAGAATGGAATTCAATGAACAAATATTTGTTAGAATAATTTTAATTTCAAACAGATTCATTTTAAAAAAAGAATACTTCAATAATATCATTACTCAATATAAGTAGACCTGTTTCATATTTCATAATCTATAAACATTTTTAATTTTTATCAGCATATGGTAACATATGCTAACATAAAGCATACATAAACAACATTTTCAGTATGCTCTGTAACAATATTTACAATTATCGTAGAGTTGCAAAACTAAAATTAAATTAAAAAATAATAATAATTATTAAATTTATATATATATTGATGATCGAAACAGGTCTGCTTCTTTTTATCTTTCAAGAGTATTCCATAAATCTCCAGCAGACACAGTTGGTGATATGCCAGCAGTTCTGCGCAGTATACTGCGCCAACAGTAGATATTAGAAATATTTCTCTTCAGATTTGTTGAAATTAACGCTACTATATAACGAAGCATAATTAAAAACAACAAAATCGACGAAGATAAGTTTTAAAATTAATTACTTTTTATATAATTGGTTTAAAACAAAAAACATTACGTGCGTTTCTACATTTGCCAGGCGGCAAACGATCGGTTAGTCGGCTTACAAAAATTAGATATGGTACTTTATAATAATTAGTACTATGTGTTTTTTTTGTAATTATTTATTAATCTTTGCTCACACAAAACTAAATCTGAAATAAATAAGGAAATACAAATTCAGATGAATAAGAAAATCCCGCAAATGCTTAAAATCCATTTTTTAATTTATTAATAATTGTTAGTTGATAGATTAGATGCCTTTCAACTGGCATGAAAACTGATAAAGCAGATTATGGGGAAGCTTTAAATCGAATTCTTGAGTTTCATTATAAATATCACTTGCTCCTAACAAATCACATTTAAAGCTTATAAAACTTGATTTAAAAATGTTTTTATCAAGCTATTTAAGCTATCAAGTATTCAAATTACAAGTATATTTGCCAATTATTTGCGATTCTATATATGTAAGGGTCCCAACTGAATAAATATAAGATATATTTATAAGTATATAAGTACAATTTTATTTAAAAAGTTAAATCTGAAATATAAATCAATTAATTTATATACCATGAGGTACCTTAAAAATTTTTTTTTTGATTTAATAAATATTTATGTACAATACATTTTTAAAGGGTTATTAAAAATATCGAAACGTGTTCGACGTTTTAAAAAGTGTTTGAAGTGATATTTGCGTATATTTACTGCAAGCCTAACCAGATACTAGCTACACTCTACCTATCTACATATGTTACACATCTTAATCATTAAAGATGCAAATTTTGTCGATGTTGAGGCAATTTCCATTAGTGAATGTAGGTTATACGTGTTTCCCCCTTAGCTAATGCGAAAGTTAGGTCAATGGGGTGGCACAAACGAAATGAAAGTAAGTGAGAGAAACTTATAAGCAAATCAAAAAAAGCCAAGATCAAGAAAAGAAAAATAATTCGTAGGGTTAGTGAATTTTGACAGATTTTCAATTGAAAATAAAATTACATCGTGCTCCTTTTCACAGTCAAGAGTCATTTTTAAAAGGAGATCAAGTCGGATGAAAATCAAAGAAAACGGAACGAAGAACAGTTATTTTAATAATTCTTTATTAGTTGTTTCGCGCGTTTATTTAAGTTCGCGTTTATTTTAGTTATATAATTTGTGTTGATTGTTCTTAGATATATATATAAAAATATCATACACATGTATGTACACATGCTATAGCCAGACAGTGACAAATTAATATGCGAGTCGGCTCGCATTGGGTTATTATATACGCATGTCGTAGGTAAGTGGAAGTAAAAAAAATACCGAATCCTTAAATGAACCAGCACCAACAGCTCTTGCGGTGTCCTTGTCAAATTATTTGTTTGTTTACTGTTTCTACCGAGATAACGTATGTATCTATGTGGGTGTTTGGGCATATGTGCATGAGTAGATGTTTTTTAATGGATATATATCTCTGTTTATAAACATGCCTGCCCATATGTTTGTGTATGCATGTACGCATATATGAATGTATATGTGTATTTGTATTTGGTATTTGTATCGAATGCACCAAGGCCTAGACCCGGCTAAGGCTGTTGTACGAGTTGCACAATTGACGGCAGCGATTCGTGGAGCACTAAACTTTCCGATTATGGCAACCTACGCCACTTTTTTTTTGGTTTTTAAGATGTGTAGCGTTCAATACCACTTGGGTCGCGTGTGCCTTTTTATTATTAAGTTTCTACATATTACGCTAAGCGTAAATTTAGTATTTCACTGTAGCACGCGGAGTCGCACACAACCTGACGGCCCGATGTCCTTTGAACTTCTGCCGGCAGACGCTTCGCCTTATCTGTAAACGGGATAGCAGCCCAACGTCTTATTCTGTCGTAGTCGTCGACGCCAGCGGCTCTGCTCTGGCTCTGTTTCTAGCGTCAAGTTGTGCTTCTCCTTCTAACTCGTTGGCATCGGCATATGTGTCTGTAGGAGTGTGGCCGTACTATTATTGTTTTCTTCAAGAAATTATGCGCGAGTTACATTCATGAAAAAAAAACACACATAAAGAACGAGAAGAAAACAAAACGCTCTCTCTTTTTCTCACTGAATGCGGCGTGGAAAAGCAACGCAAAAATAGAAGTAGCAGCGGACAGCGTAAACGTCCGAAGCAAGAACAGGAATAACGTTTGTGTTAGTGTGTGCGTTGTATATGTATATTGTGTAGTGGTATAAAACTAAACTAGCACTCACTCACCCACCAAAAACAACCCACAGATTAAATTCCACCCCATCCACATATACACACACATACATACGCATTATACATATATATATTTATTGTATATATACATATATACGGAAACAAAGAAGGGGAAATAGCCAACGCTAACGGGAGTCGAACGCTTACGTTTATGGATTGGGGTTACTTGAGGAAAAAGACACCTAAAAACCTAGCAAGCGATAAGATTTTTTTGTCCCTTTCATTTCTTCTCCCTCTTTTAATATCCCTCTCTCTCCCTCTCTCTCTCTTTAACGCTCTCTTTTACTCTCTCACCCCTCGTTCATCATGTATATGTATTTATGTGTGTGTGAGATTAATTGAAAATTTGTTTAGAAAGGGGAAGTCACCATGAGAATATCCACCTTGGTTGAACCGTTAAAGAAAAAGAAAAATTCTAGACCAATTTCAACTCTCTTCAACCCAACTGACTGAGCCTTACGAATGCCAGCTCCACTCATAATTAAATGTCTGGAAGTTTTTTAATGGAGGGCGAAAATTGACGCACAGGAAAAAAGCTTTATTCCATTCACTTTATATTTAGCAGCAGTTTTGAGACTACCCCTTTGACGTTTTCACTTCAAGCGGAGAACCAGTTTGTTGAGCTTTTAAGTTCTAAACACAAGCGGAAGGGGTAGAATATTTATGTGGATGCATATATATATATATATGAATGGGAAATTTATGAGACTTATTCTCTTTCAAGCTTGCTTTTAACTGTCTCTTTTGCAGTGTGGCATTACCTAAGAGAAATTATACTCTAAACCAACAAAATGCATCGGGGTTCAGTTGTAAGTCGGTCGTGTATTAAAATAGCCAAATAACTCCTAATCACACTATCACAAAATTGATTAGCTCGTGCTTGTTTCTTATTAAGTACCAGGATTTCTTATTAATAGAGGCTCACTTTTTGGACTATGTAAATATTACTTCTACAATTTACTGAAATACGAAAGAAACTATTATAAGAAAGCTCTTTTATTCTACTAGCATAACTTCGACAATGGCTAAAGATCTTTATCCGAGAATTGTGTTTTCCAGTGAGTGTTGTATGCAGCGAGTGGATCGCCGCCTTACTGGAAAGACACCCATCTTTAGAGTCTAGCTAGATAGTATTTTGTAATTGTTACACAACTGGACTCAATCAACATAGACCATTTGCATAGAATAAATAGATTGAGCAATTAAACTAAAAGATAAGCGTAGTATATGTTCTACGCGTATTATTTCATACGGTCCCCAGGATGCGTATAAAGAGAAGATGAAGAAATACCAAAGTCGTTTTGGATGTCAACGTACCAATTTAACTTTAAATCTGATTTAAAAACCTCACAACTTAAATCGACGGCCCAAGGGTGCAATATTGAAACTAATCAAATATTTGTTATATAAATGTGGACATATTGACAAGTGGATTTTACAAGCTGCACGGTTTCATAAAGAAAATAAATACTTTGAAAGGAGATCAACCACCTGGCGAATCTCTAGAAAGGTATAGTCAAAAATGTTCGAGCGTCTAAAAAGTGTCGAATAGACGGGTGGGAACACAAACTCAATAAATTTTGTTATATGTAAGATATTGCTAATTAAATAAATATTCTATGCACTTACAGCTTCCATAAAATAATAAGAAAAATTTATTCAACAATTACTTATTTTTATTTTATTGCACGTACCTGGATTTCGTTGGCCAACTTTTCGTTGTTGTACTTTATATCGGGTGTTGAACTACCGCCAGACGGAGTTATCGAGTGTTGCGGCGATTGCTGACCTTGGGATATCGTTTTGGTGAGCAGTGGGCTGCGTGGCTGGTGTGGTTGCTGCTGCTGCTGCTGCTGGTGAAGTTGTGAACGCTGCTCAGAAGGGCCGGCGTAAAAGCTAGTACTGTATGTCTGCTCGGATTGCTGCGGGCGGGGATCCTCGGAGTGCTGTGGCTGCTGCTGCTGCTGTTGGTCATGCTCTTGCTTGGTTTTAACTGCAAGATTGCCACTGCTGTTAAGATTGTGGTTGCTAAGCGTGGGAATAGGAAGCGGCAGTGGATTGTCCAACTGATCTGTCGAATTAGCATTGCTGCTGGTGCTATTATTTTGAGCATGGTTATTTAATGCCGTTGATTTGAGGTGCGCTGCCGCGGCCGCCGCGGCGGCTGCGTTAAATAACAAATGATGGTTGCTCAGCTGCGTTGACGTTGGTGCCGTAGCCACCGATTGCTGCCCTCCAAATGATTCGTGGCTATAGCACTGTTCGACATGTTGCTGCAGGAGCTGAGTTTCAATGTTCTGCTGTGGCTGTTGCTGCTGTTGTTGCTGCTGCTGCTGATGTGTCTGTTGCTGCTGCGGATGCTCTTGTTGCTGCACCTGGTTCGGCTCCAATTTGCTATTTAATGGCAGGTGGTTATTGTTATTTGTAGGGTTGGCATGCTGCTCCTGCTGGCTGGACAAAGGGTGCGGGTGCTGTTGCGTATGTTGGTGCTGGTGCTGGTGCAATGCCGTCGCAGCAGTGTGCAGTGCAAAGGGCGCTCGGGCCTGCTGCCAAAAGTCAGCCGCATCCATTTTTAAAATATGTAACGGAATCTTGTTTTGTGGGATCAGCTAAAGCTCTGAAGCTTTCAGCTTCGTATCCGGTTGCGCTTACGTTTGAGGTCGGTGTGGCGGCTCTTGATGCTGGTAGGCTTTGCCTATGTACTGCTGGTCGCTGGTGAACTGCAACAGCAGCCACTCGTCGACCTTTGCTTCCGATCGCAGTAGCAATTCTTTCGGACCCAGGGTGATGGATCTGTTCCAAACAACTGGAAAAGTAGGAGGTTTTTTGAAAATAGCTTTTAATCTCAAAAATTTAACTATTTAAATCATGTAAGCCATCGACTTTACATGCGTACTTCCTCCAATACGTATACATTTAAAAATTTTTAGTGTTCTTGCCATTTAAGTTTCAATTTGGTCATCCATGGTTATTTATTAATTTTGACACACAACCTACAGATATTCAAAAATAAACATGTGTGTTGAATATCTGATTTCCAATGGATTAATTCTTTAAATATATTTTTCAGAGTATGTATATTTTAGAAGAGTTGTTAGAACATTTTAACGTGATTGCTTTTTTTAAAGGAAAAATAAATTTTAAAGATAGATTTGATTAATTGATAATAACAATAATTACTAGAAAATAATCTTACATTGTCTTCTATTTAATTTATCTCCATAAAATAGAGCCTAATATCTTAATTTTTTATTTTTTAGCTAAACTTTGAGAAATGTGCATTTGTTGGTCTAAATATTGTATTATATTTTATTTAAATTATTTGCAAACCAATACAAAGTATTAAGAATGTATATATACTAAATAAGTTATAACTTGCATTAACGTTTTTTCTTGAAACATGTACTGCAAGACAAATTATAAAGAGTATTATATACTCTTTATATTTATTATTTTTATTATATTATTATATTTAAAATCTGAATCACTTTTCTACAAATCGCGAAAGAATTATTTTAACAATATATGAAATCGAGTGCGAAGAGTAAGAATAGACCGAATTTTAAACATTATTTTAAACATGATCTGAACATAATATGCTTGGTTTACTATAACACAAGCATTTTGGAGGTCAATAAGTTTATTTGTATTGTTTTTTAAAAGTTAAGTAAATATATATTATTGTTTTATCAAAGGTTTGCTGCTTAGATATTCCATACGGCATTTCAATTACAAGGCATACAGTACGTTACAACTGATCTTGCAAAGTTGGGTAGTTGGGTGCAGAACATACTTGATTTTGTTACATTTAATATTTCCACTTGACCTGAAGATCTATTGATCTTTGTGGCCAACAACTAAAGCAATGTAACATGTTGACACTAAAGTAAGATTTTAGAAACCGCGCACTTGCTCCTTCTAACGTATACACGCGTCGAACTCGTCGTCGCTAGCGGCACCCTAGTTCAGATAAGGATAACCTGGCGGCACGCGAGTCATTGAAAAACTAATTTTGTCGCTGCCTCGAACAAGTATAAATATGAATGTCGCAGAGGGTTCAGGACACATCTCGCGTGCTTAGAAATAGAACTTGGGTAAAAGCAAAAGCAAAAAGCGAGCCGCGTATTCGGCGTTGGCAGCGGCAGAGCAAAGTAAGTCAAACATCTTCGTTGCGAGCTCCGTACATCTTCGGGCAACAGCGAAGCGTCTTCGTGTCAAACGCCAACGCTAACGCCAAAACTTGTCCTGGACTCACGTGCGTCCTCTCTTAAGTTTACTCTTGCAACGCTATTTTCAAGGCAGGTTGCTCATGCTGTCAGTTGGCTCTTGTGGCTCGCCAGTTAGGAGAAAAGTAACAGTAACGGTAACAGTAAGTTTAGCCGTAGCAGCCACCAAGTGCAATGTGATACACAAATCTGTAAATGTTTATCTAGTATTTCTTCAGGGTATGAGTCCATGGTCAAATGACGCTTGATACAATTTTCTCTTTAACATGGTATTGATGAATCCTACATTTTGTTTCAGGCAATTAAAAGCTTCTTTTTGATCCTAAGCATATGAACAATTTTTGTGAAAAAAGAGTTCTTATGGCAAACTCTTTTATTTTTCAAGATATCATGAAATCTGAACAAACGCATCAATTTACAATAATGAGCTTCATAATGATCAATAAACATATTAATATCAGACTACAAAAGTGCGTTGTGAGGCTATAAATAAATATATATTATTCCTATACTTTCCATCAATTCGCAAAGGTATATATATGGTATACCCCGAAAACAATTGATAACATTGTTTTTTTTTTATTTATGAGTTTAATATGGATTAACGAGTACCCTAACCTTAAAAATTATATGAGTTTTTTGCATTTACGTTACTCTTGCTTAAATCTAAAGATATAATAGTATTCTAAAACCCACCATACAATTGTAAGCATTCCTACTCCTTGTCAAGATTCATTGCATTGGGCGTCAGTCATTTGGAATGTACAAAAATGTTGATTGATAACGGAATAGGTTCCACTAACATCCGTTGATTTTATGTTACCACCTTTATTTATAATATCCTATTTTTATGTTTACAGTTTATATATTATTATGCATTATTGAAACTAATTTGAACTTAAGGCCGGAATAAGGCACACGTTGCGTTTTCGAGATATCGTAATTTGATCATTTTTTTTTTATTGTGTCAAGAACTAGTTTATCAAGATTTTTCAAACTTGTGAAACTATAATTTTTAGTTTATTTTCGTTTTCTGCATTAAGCTTTATTTTTCGTGTTTATTTTTGCTTCTTTTTATTTTTTCTTGGTTGCTTTAATAAGTTTATCATCACAATTTGTTTATTCTTTTGGTTAGGGTTCAGGCCAAGAATATCACCCAAATATTTTTATTTTCGTCTTTGTCTCTTGCTCGGTCCCTTCTCATAAATTTTATTAAAAGTACTATATGAATATAGGTTGTATTACACGTCCACTTTTTGTTGAGGTTGGGGACTTTTACTAATTTACTAATTAATTGAATGTTATGTCATTTATTGTTTATGATTCAATGTGTATTTATGTAACCGAAATAAATAGTTTGAAATGAATGTCATAAAATAGGATTCGATAAAATTATAAAATTAATTTTTTCTTATTCTACTAAACACCTGCTCGTGAGTGGGTGTTTCTTAGATCTATGGATATCCAGAGCTTTATGTAAATGTGTCTTTACCAACTGCGCTATTTTCCATATACTATCTGTAAGTGTCTAGTACTATAGTCATCATAATTATAGTTATAGCCTGCTAGAAAATACACAATATTAGGGATAATATCGACTATTTTAAGTATAATAATTTTATTTATTTATTGAATCTTAGGGAACTACACCAATAATTATAATGTTATGTTTGTGTATAACTATATTTGACTTTGCTGTCTGCTAGGAATGGCTGTGTTTGTATATGTTTGTGTGTGAGTAAATACTAGCTATATGGTATGTGGTATTCTAAACTGTCTGTTCCGGTGTCAGTGTGTTTCCGATAAGCATACAATGAAAGTATTTTGATGCTGATCGTTGGGCTTCGAGCAATAATTATGTTGCGATTGGCAGACCTCTTAATCAAATCTTAATTACTTTTATTAAACCTATGTTTGTTTTGCCTAGTTCAATGATCGCCTTCAATTTTGCTCTGCTCTGTTATCTATAAGAGAAGCTGAGAATGGATGATTCTTCTCAAAACGAATACAGAATTAAAATTTAATTATTAAATAAAATAAAAGTAAGTTATAAAAGACTTTATGGATATTACGGGTTTTCTTATTTGGTTGGGTAGGTATTTTAAAAATGGGTTGTTTTTGCGTTAATTGTTGTGTGGTTCATTTAAGTTTTATTCTTTAATATTGTTAAATTTATGTTGCAGTAATTTTCACATTTAATTTGTTTAGCTGGCTCGCAGTCAGATTGATTGATAAAAACACAATAATTTTTTTTTATGTATACCCTTGTTGTGTGAATCGGTTTACTTTTCAGTTTATTTCGTTATCAAAATTGTGAGTTCGTTTCGTTTCGCTTATATACTTTAGCTTTGTACTTTTGATTCCAATTTTGCAATACTTTAATAATTTACTAAACAAGTCATGTTCACATATTTGTTTGTTGGTTTCAATTGGTTAAAGTGACGATTATCGGAGAATTTTAGGCTTGTTGTTTTTTTAATTAAATTATTTTTTATTTTTGTGGTTTACTCAGGTTGAGATTGGTGTTTTATAAATATTAATGTAAGTAAATAAATTGTTTTAACTGTATCCGTTCTATTGCTTTTCAAACTGAATTATGGTTAAGTTGGCATGAAGTTCTATTGTTATTTGCGTCAGGTCAGCAAATTTGGTTTGAAAACGTTTTTGGTCTATTGTTTTTGGTAAAATTATGATGATCTGAAATCAGAGTGAAATGTAAAATGCGATCAGTACTAGAGTGTTTTAAAACGAATACGGATAAAGATTTATTCATGGAAAGGATTTATTTGGTACAATGATGGTTGCTATGTAAATTGAAGTGTGAATTAGTGCGGGTTGTGTTTAAATTGAAATAAAAATAAAATGAAATCCCGGAAAATAAATATTTCCTTTTTCTGAACAACAACAATTTTTTTAGAATTTTTCTTCTTGTTTTTTGCACAAGCACAAGATATTCACGTTTGAGAAATAAAAATGCTCCGCGAGGTCTCGGCGATCCGCAGTCGGCTGTTCTACTCCATAGACTATTGCGTTTTTGAATACGACGACGAAATAATAGAGAATAAAAGTTGGCTGCTGTTACTGAAAAAAGCGGCGTCGATATGGATGTGTCGAAGTGCGTCCAGGTCGAGGAGCGCAGCGGTCGGTAGGCTTATTATAAGATAAAAATGGTGTACGATAAACAAAAACGGCAGCAGCAGCGAGAGCAGCAGCGCCGGCGCCAGCGTCAACATCGGCAGCGCCAACGTATGCGCTGGCAGCAGCCTCATGCGCTTTTTGGATTTAGTCGTAAATGTGGATACCCCTGTAGAATGTAAGTGAATTTCCATTTTGGCTGTAAATTCATCGAAAATGTTCGTTGGTTCAGCTAACGGTTCGAACCATAATATTAAAAAATGCATTGAACCAAACAATTCATTGAATAGTTTGGTAGACAAAAAAAATAGGAGACATACCAGAAGAAATAATTTTACAGGTGAAGATAACCTACGAAACAAAAGATTTATATTTCGTCTTTTTACACAAGTTATTGCCGATAATAACATGGTTATGCCATTTTAGACAAACCTGTTACGCAAGCGCAACTTTGCCATTCAAATTGGCGACCTTCCAAAATATTTAAAACATTTTTATAAAATATCCTAGTCGATTTTAAGCTGTATTTTGGTAGATGCAAAATGTTTTCAGCCCACCATGACTAGTCGACAGACAGTAAAAGCCAGACCAAACGCCAACGCCAACGCTAACGACGACGCCGACATCGACGTTGGCTGATACGTCGGCAGCCACAGTTGCAGTTGCAGTTGCAGTTGCATATTTGGCAGCCGATGTCCAGCCACATGTCTGATGTTATTGTTGTAGTGTCTCTGCTGTTATGGAAGGGAGACACAAAATTTGTCTGCCCCATTCCACTCTCCACGCGCTTGCCAGCTACACACATACACAAACACACACAAACTCACACACACACACACACTCTCATGCACGCACGCACGCACGCACTCGCATATGCAGTGTCAAGTGCAGTTTTCGCCGACGCCAACGCCAACGCCGATGCTCCGACGAGTTGCATTCGAGTGCAGCTCCTGCTGCACTTTCTACAGTAACATCCCTTATTTGGCTCCCACCCTAGCCACTCTCCAGAAAACTGCAACGACTACCCCTAACTCCTTGCTGCTCTGACAAAAACCCCCATCACCCCTTTCCCATCTTCTTCCCCCTTTGTTTTGCTGCTCGCCAGGTCGGTGGCATGCAAATTTGTGCACGATTTAATGTCTACTTCATGGCCTTTGCTGTCCTTGTCTCTCTTGCATTCATGATTTACTCTCTCCATGTCTCCCTCTCTCCTGCTGTCTGGCTGTTTATGTTTATGCAATGCCTGGGCCTTATGAATGCGTGTGTGTGTGTGTATGATTGTATGCCAGGATGCATTTCCGCTTGTTGCTACGGCGCTGCAATTGCACTTCTATGTACATGCATACATATGTATGTACATATTTATATATGTACATGCTTATGCATTCACGTATGAAACTGGGTGTGTGTGTGAGTGTATGGACTATATGCACATACATACATACATAGAAATGCGTGTGCAGCGTGTGCATGTATTTGAATATATAAGGGTGGTGTACATATATTAATTTATATAGCATTCATTTACATACATATGTATGTATGCATACATATACAAATACATACTTAACGTCCATTTTAGTTACCATTTGTCATCGCAGATGCCTCGACATCGATTTTCGGCTAGCCGGCTAGACACCCAACATTATTGATTTGCCCAAATAACTAGACAATCTTGGAGATATATATGAAGGGCTAGTGCTAAAATCAACAAAATGCTTACTCTATATTTAAAAAAAAGTAAAATGAAAGTTTTTCTTCATATTTTTACTTTTTACTTATAACTTTTCTGCTAACTTTTTTGTAATGGTCGGATAGAAATGAATGAGATAATTTATAAAAAAATAATATCAAGCCGCTGCCCAATCCTCAGTTTGCGCATCACAGGAACTTGGATATGGCACAGGGTAACGGCCGGTCTCTTTCTACTCCTTTACGTTATTTGAAATGGTATTCTAAGAATCATAGCAACTAGCCAAATTCCTACATATGGTATAGATTTTATTGAATTAAATAAATTAAGGAGATCTGCGATGTGCGAGAATAATTACTTATTTATTCTAATATTTGTTGGAAAATTGGCGGCGAAATGGCAGAATTCCATCAGCAAATCATTTTGGAAATCTATAGTACGTGGGACAATAGCACGGTTGTAGAAGTGGGGTTAGAAATTGCACGTTTGTTTGTCGAGGGTCCTCCACAACCATGTAGGTCCATATGTACATGCGCATAAGGTGTGAATATATATAGAGATGTGTATATACATATATATAGGAATGTATATATCTAAAAATATTAATATTAATGCCTATGTATAAGCCACACCTCTATAGGAATGGGGGCAAATATGTACACACATATGCATAAGTATTCTTATATGTTGTTTATTTTTTTGTGTGGATGCATTATTTGACGTTTATCCGGTATAAGATGAAACGCTTATGAATCTCACCAAAATCTGGATTAGATTGCAGTGTGGAAGTGTTCTGTGATTCCAATCAATAAAGCTTGCATCATTTTCTTTATATGTAACTAACAACAACTACCACAACTTTAACGTCGACAGCAATAGGAAAAATGACGCTTACGATGACGATGGCGATGGCAACTACCAAGGCCAAACTTATGTCAAGGTTGTCGGCCGGACTGCCGGCACCTGAAAGCCGCCTGTGCAACTATCATCACCAGCTCCAGCTTCTACTTCTATGGTATTGGTATTGCCTCCGCTTGTCGTTCGGGTTGAGATTGGCTCGGAAGTAATTCTGTTTCTGCATCGAGCCGAGCACATCTGACCCGTTTAAGCAGCTGAGCGAGCGTTCCTTTAGGGGAAACTTTTGTGTTTATTGCTAGCCTTTATTTTATTTCACAACTTCAATTAATGAAATAAATAAATGTGTCGCTCGTTCTATGGGAATCAAAACAAATAAGAGTGAACCCACCGTCAAGCCGCCAGTTGTGGGTAAAATTTAAGATATAACTTTTACATTCAATTCCCACGTCTTATGTTTAACTTTACACAGATAAATGAAAATAAGTTTAAAATCCATCAAAGTAAGAACCAAAAGCTGGAATCAATAATTTTCGCAAATTATAGTAAAAACAACAAATATCATAATCATTCTCTCATTAAGTATGTAGATTGAGAAGTACGAATATGAACTTTTCTATACGTATTAAATGCATACCTATTTTATGTATATATAAAATATATTTAGTCAATTATTGTATGTATCTTGATACGGGTGTATAAAGTGGCCATGATTATATAGCTATAATATGGTATATATGGTTCGCGTTTCGCGACTCGAAATTAAAAAAATGCCTGCTGCATGCGTATCTGAAGCCCACTTTCTCCCTTTGGCTTTGGTTCGGATCGGTTCGTATGGGCGTGTTTGAATGCAATTTGTTGTGAATAAATAATAACGTAGACTGAGAACCGATGCCGAGAACAGGCTGCGCTGCTGCAACTATTTACAATACATTTTCATTTCCGACGCGCCGCCATCTTGTATGCGGGTGCAATAGCGAGGGTGCGCAAAGTGGGGTGGAAGTATTGGATGTGAACATTTTGGTCGTACGACCCTTGTGCAAATATCGGTCGGAAGAGTGCGAAACCATTCCGTTTTCAGTTCATCGAAAACAAGTAAAAGAACTCTAGACTTACAAAATTTTGTATATTCCTTGATTCCTCCTAGACTTGATTTGCGGGGAATAGAAGGAACTACTTTTAAAATTTAAAGTTTTAGCTTTTATATTCTCTGTTATCGACGCGTTTATACATACAGATATGCCTAGATCAAATAGGCTGTTGATAATGAGCTAGAATATATATACTTTATGGCTTAAGAGATATGTACCTCCCTCTTATTCGCACAAAACCATTATACCCATTATTGGAGTACTTCCATAAGTCTGGTAAGCATGTGTTTGTAATAATAGTGTAGCTTAGCCATAGATGAGGCGGCCTTGAGCGTCATCGTCTTACTTCTGCAACTTCTTATGTTCCGTATGTAGTTTTTGGTAGCCCGCGCTTCGACTGTGCCCAATCCCTAGCCCAAGTCCATTGATGTTTGTATGTACAATATGCCATATTATTTGCCCACTATGTGGGCATAATTATCCAAAAACTGCGTCAGTCTGAAGGACTTGTGTACCTAAAATGTATTAAAATACACACGCATAGTCACATACGGACATACGCACATGTGTTCTCACACACAAAATTTACATTCGATTTGTATATAACTGCGTACATACGTGTATATGTTAATGTCCGATATATACTACTTGGAGACATACATACATTCTTACATGCGTATGTATGCATGTGTACGCGTATATTTGAAAACGTTAATAGGACTAAAATATGTATACATATATAGAAATAGGCGAATGTATTGCAATTGGTGAGGCGGAAGATGAGAAGAGGGTACGCACAGCGTATATGTACATTAATACGTATATGTACAAATATCTATATACTTTCGTACATACTTATGTAAATATATTTGAATAATGCAGGTGGAGATGCAGGTCGTGAATAAACACACATTTTACATGAATACTGGGTGTGTTAAAGTACACACACACATGCATAAATCTCCAATATCTACATATGTATATATTATATAATATATATAATAATGCAATTTATTGTTAATGCATACCAAATGCCCATTTCATGCTTGGTGCAATAAAATTACCCTCTTAGCGACATCCCGTCTAATGTAGCTGTACAATTATGTATACAATTATGTATGTATGGAAATGTCCACAATATATCTGAATATATAATCTGTATATAAGACACGGATTCAGATTTTCCCGGAACTTGGCTCATTATTGATATAATCACGCAAAAGAAGAGGAAAATCAAGTGGTTATATAATAGTCAACCCATATATAGCTATAATGAAATATGTTCGGTAAACGCTTAGATATCTTAGAAAAACTAAATCTATTTAACTAACAAAGTTTATAAATGCAATTCGCTTTCCTGAAAAAAGAAATGATTTTTAAGAAAAACTTAGCGAGAAAGTGTAATAAATAATTAATGTCGAAAAAATTATTAATCCGTTAGTATAAACGATCTGCTTGATCTCTAAAACTACATAAGCTAGACACTGAGGAGTTAAAATATGTATTATAGATATGTATAGAAGAAAATCGTCTTTTTTTTTAGATTGAACTACTCTCGAAATCATTTAATTCTAATAATCGCACTCTGTACGCATAATTAAATCTTCTATTATGTTTAAACATAATACAATCAATTCAGTGCATTTCTTGCTTTTTAATGGTATTCATTAAAATATACTTACATACATTTTTGACTAGCTGGTAGTTAATATGGAATTGGTAATGGGAATGCAATTTACATTATAGAGGTACAATTGAGATCTGTTTAGGAGGGTCGCATGTAGCCTCAAGTCGCGAACATATCTCCACTTGCGATCGAGCAGATGGCGCACTACTACTCTATTGACCCAGTGGCGTCGAGCTCTCTTCACCTATACATGTAGTTGTAGCGGTATTTGTATCCCGTATCTGTATCTGAATCTTGTACTGAAGGCACAAAACGAGTTTAAGAACTCTGAGACTTGTATTTAGCGACGGCGCATTGCTCTTATATTTACCTTAATGCTGGCCATGCTTGGAATATGAAGTATTGGCACGTGGGTACGTATTTATAAACGCATCGATTTGAGTGCCTATAACAGCTAGTGACTGAATATTAAACGTAGGTCCTGCTAGTGCCCGCGAAGTATCAGTTTCCAAGTAATCGGTATCTGTTTTTATTTTTTTAACCAAACGACCATTAGACGGTTGTGGTCTTTTTGTGAATATACTTATATGCACAATTAGAAATGCGAATTTCTGTGCGCACATACATTCATATTTTTTGTATAAATAGAATTGCAATAGCGATTGTAGTGTATGCTGTTCTGTGGGTATGTGCTGCTATTTAAGTTCTGTTCTCTTCAACCGAGACACTCTTATTTCTCCTTCCATTTTTATAATGTTCTCAAAACTCAATTTAAACACAAGGTTTTTTAATCATAGCACAAAAATGATAAGACCAAGGCAATCCAAACTTGGTATGCTGTTCCTGTATAATATCTACAGATTACTAATGTCTCCCTTTTTGGATACCACCCCCAATCCTTCCAAAAACTTACTTTGCGACTTTGCGGGCCTGAAAAATTCATACAGATCGGACTTTAAGCATCGAAGGTAGCCTCTGAATGTATTTGTGAATATTTGTATGTAGAATATTCGAAAATTTGTAATGGCAGCACGGTGCTAGGCTCAGTACATCTCCTAGTCGTGTACTCCCAACTAGAGCACTCTAACTTTTTGTTGTACATTATAAAAACTGTCCAAGTCCAAGTCCAACTTTTGTTCAAAGCAGATCTATTGGATGTGAATGGTCGATACGCGTATGTGTGCATAGGTAATAAGTTTAACGGTAATGGATTGGATCCGCTGACATACGAACTACTTGTGTGCGATGTGTGACAATGGAAAGGGCATCTGGTAAGCTTTTATTTACTATTGTGTGTTTGTGGGGTTGTGTGTGTATGTGAGGCCAGCGGACTCCAGTAAAAGATTTTCTAGCTGCGGCCACGCATGCGTCCTGCTTTTAGGGGTTTCTTAATACCAGCCACAGCAACCCCTGCGTTGACAGCGGTCAACCCTAAAGCTAAAGGGGCCACAAGCAGCTCCAAGTTATCGTAGACGCAGCCAGCGAACGGTATATTCAAATATCATATTTTTTCATATACATACGAATGTCCCTTGGCAGATGTTGCGTGTGCCGTAGCTGCGATTTGCATACTTTCATAGTTTTCATAGCCCCAGTGCGTAAACGACAACGAGAATGGACCCTACCTGACCGATCTCTGGCAGCAACATAACGGGTAGCGAAAGGGTCAGGGGCGCCTGCTGCCTGCTAATTTATGCATAAAGAGAACAGGACATCAACTGAAATCACATACACACACATGCTTACGGGCAGGTAGTGCCCGAAAAACCATCCGAATGCAAGGGTTCAACATTGATTTGGCTGTTGTGCTTTTCGGTCATCCGGATCGGTACGGAGAGCTGGCAGCTGGTGGCTCTGGGTTGCTCCGGCTGCCCTGTCTATCCCTTGTCTGCACTCTGAAGCCGTGCCTAAGCTCATTTGCATAACGTTTGTCTTGTCCGAACGTTGCGTTCCACGTGTTGTGTGAAACATCGCAGAGTTCATCATCTGACTGTTAGGCGCATTTGTATATTTGTATATTACTGCTTGAAAAAAAATATATGCTTATGAATAACCAGCTGATATTTCCCGGACTTTCCCGGTCCCAATTTTTCGTTTCAGATATTATGCAATAATTTCCAACCCACTTCCCACCCGCGAAAAATTTGAAACTATATTTATTTTATATTAGAATCTAAATTTTTTTCACAAATCTTAGATTGACTATAAACACCACCGTTATTAAAGATTACTATTTCCAAAGTGTGGTGTTAAAGGTGCTAATGCATTTCCAAAGGCATTAGCCTGTGTTATGGTTATGTGCAAATGCATGTGACAGGCATATGGAAGCATCTCCAACCTCATAAAGTGTGTATATTCTTGGCCATATCAGTCTGTCTGTCCGTATGCTGTTCCTGCTATAACTACCTCTGTAATATAATTGTAAAATAATATAACATGTCTTTAAACATAATAAGATGAATAGAATGCATTTCTTACTTTTATTTTAAATTCTTTAAAATGGGAATGCAATTTACATATTAGAGGTACAAGTTTATCCCATTTTGGTCCCGTGGTGTGAAGCCGCAAAATAAGCATTCTCACATAGAATCTTTCACCTGGATAATTTAAGAGGGATAAAATTTGGGAAAAGTGTTAAGTACGTATCAAATCAAACTGGGTTTGCCACTATTGAGACAATACTACAAGCATCCACTAGTCTGGAAATCGAACCCGGAATGGTTTTAACTAAAATTGGGTATTGGCCATACATAACATAAGTATGTATACATAATTCTTACTTGTTATAGCTTTCTATGGAGTAGCTTGCGTCCCATGATTTCAATTGCTTATATTCCTCCAGTGCACAGCGCGTATAATCAATCATCTGGCTGGAAAGAAAATCTATAAAGTTAAGAAAAGATATCTAAGAAATGTGTGTTCTTGGTGGAAGGGTGATGTATGGTGCCGGATGCTTGTTCTCCTTTTCGTGGCTGGGCCTGTCCAACAGGCAAGACGTGGGGTGAAACAATTCGGGCAAGTGCTTTAAAAAACGGGATGGCAGAATCAGAAAAGGCAAGGAGCAAAAAAAAAATAAATAAAAAATTATTGTAGACAACAGGGCAAGAAGTGTGAAAGAAAAGTGAAAGCATTGCCATTTTATTTGTTTGTGTTGGCCGTTGAAGATTCCGGGAACCCGCACCATGTTTTTCATTCTTCTTTATTTCTCGCTTGTAACTCGTTTACCAAGTCGCTGTGAACCAACCCCACCAAGTCGCCATTGGGAGTAATAGTTGCCCATTTTTTGCTAGTCTTTTCGTTTTTTTTTTGTTTCTTCAGTTCGGTATGGCACTTTTTTCCCGCCACAACGAGAACGCAGCAGCGGCAGAGGCAGAGTTCGCGGCAGCGTTGGCGGATGGCGATGGCCACGCTTCGTTTGGGTGATTATGGGAAGGGGCTGTTTGTAGCTGTGGGCTCTGTACGTAACTGGAGAAGAAGTAGAGACAGAAGCACACAAAGATCCTGCGCAAATACAATTTAATTGAGGGGAGAACCGGGTGTGGCACGTCCAGTACCAGGCCTAAGGAGGTGCCGGATGTGCGCTGTGAGGCCGAGGTATGGGCAATGGGATGCTTCTCCGTTCAGTGGCGTTTACAAACTGGACTCGTGTTCTCGGTCTCTTTCGCTCTCTCTGCCTTGGCAGCGCGCACAACAATTTAGAATTTAATTTTCTCGAAAAGAAGCAAATCAACAAAATTTGAAGTGATAAAAAGGAAAACGCAGCCCGGAAAGTGGTGGCGAGCTGATGTTAGAGTTGGAGCATTTCACTTTGTACTCTACCATTAACTGTGGAGACTATTATAGGTGTTATAAGAAATGCAACTGCACAACAGTTAAAATATTATCGATTATCAAAAGTATTGGTAATAAAACTAGCTTGCTCAGCTTTGACAAGCTATCAAAATCTAAATTTTTGTATAGCATTGCAACAGTTTTAGGATCCATATTACATTTAAACAACATTAAACATTAAACATTACATTTAAACAAACGAAAACTCGCATCATCACAAGAAACATATTATACGTATCTTATAGGAAAATGTACGATATCATTGCAATATTAACATTAATCTGAAAGTGATTGCAGGGTATCTTTATGTACAAGGTAACTTTTGATTTATTTCAACAGAAATGGTATTAGTATTGGTAGAAATTTGGATTCAGGCGTTTGTTTCTTGTTTTCTTTTTCGTTCGTTTCCCATAATTTCCTTTCGTTTCGACTTATTTTTCTTTTTTCTCTTGGCTACTATGTTTAATTGCCCGAAAGTGGCGCAGCGCGCCCGACGTTAACAGGAGTAGGGGTTCAAGTGGCTTATAATAACTGCTGTGAAGAAGAAAAGAAACAGTAAAAACTCACATCAGCACCAGCAGCAGGGAACAAGTTAGAGTGGTCTATCAAAAAGTTTTCATCTAGGAGGTACCCTGCACTCTGACTTACATTTTATTATGATAATATATGACCAGTGAGAGTGCTCTAGTCGGAAATGCCCGACTACAGGATACCCTGAACTTTCTTCTATAAAACACCTCATGCAGCTCGATCTACGGACACACTTGCATTTTTAATTTTTTCTTTTAAATATTTAATGGTTAATGGAATATACTACGAGCGTACAATACAATCGTAATTGCAATTATTTTTAAAGCATTCAAAAAAGACACACATAAAAACGTTTTCCCTAATAACTTCTGTGGTATCCAAAAATGTTACAATTGGTGACTCTATCTCTTTTAATCTAAGAGATATGCTAAGAAATAGAATTTCGAAATCGATTGCTTGTTAAGTTGTTGATAGTCGGAAAAAAAATCTTACAGCGCGGGATAATTACCGGAGGACCTGCATTCAAATTTTAAAGCTATGGCTCATATAAGGTTTGAGATCGATTCGTTCATACAAAAGTTCAGAGGGACGTGTATGGCTAAATCAACTCAAGTATTGATGCTGACCAATAATTTATACTTCACGAGTTCAGTAATGCTTCCTCCTCCTTCCTGTTACATACATTTGCTTAAAGCCAGTATACCCTTACTATCCATATTTAAGCGGTTCAGCGTATATAAATAATACAAAATTAAAAAGTCATATTTTTACAAAACTCTGTCTTACTGTCCGGCCGTCCATCACTTGTTGACCCATCTTTTTGACGATCTATTTCAAACATAGTGTCCAGATTCCTGAACATACAGTGCGCATAAATAAATATAAATGTCTATTTATTAAATGCGGTCAAAGACGTTTTCATATATCTATTGTACAAATTCACAAAGCTTTTTTAAATAAGTACATAATCGTCATATTTTGACATTTTAGTTGACAGCACTACTGTTTTGTTGTATGTTTACGATTGTGAGTGTACAATGTACGGAGCGTGGTTGAAGCGGGATGCAAAGAAAACAGAATTTAAAACGCACCAAGCCACTTAACTATCTTTTTTAAATTTCTTTTTTGATAGCTTGCTTGAAATAATAATATAAATTACAATGCGAAACCCTTCCTTTCAGTAAGTGGATGGCAATGCCAGTTTTTATGCCCTCGCATTGTAACCCTTTCACGCACTTTTTCCATTACAAACGCGCAAGCACACGAATTTACACACATATCTCCGGTGCACATGCAATTGTATGTGTGTGTATATGTATGCATGATATAATGTTAATTACAGAGCTTGGAACGTTTACGCGGTCGCGTCGTGCATTCTACCGTAAAAACGTCTGCTGACCGCCGCGTCGGCTGCTGTTACCGCCGATTGACTTTTGTTTTGTCCCGGTTCCTCTCCCTATTTCTGTTCCAGCTCTGTCTCACATATATAACACCCCTCCTCTGAGTAAGGTAACGGTAACGGCAACGGCAATCGGTGTGCTTGTTGCAGGAACTTCTGTTAACAACAGTTGTAGAATTATCATGACCGCAGCCCAATTTTATACTTATTTTTTCAATTCATCCTCCACCTTGCCAATAAGATTCAGTTTAGCAACAAAAACATTAAATACAGAGAAATAGTCTAGTTTTTAAGCAATTATGGACTACGAATGTACTTTATTTAGTTTTTTGTTTTTAATTATTTACATTGTTTTGTATTGTATATTTATGTGTATTTATTAAATAAAGCCGCAAAATTAACTCCTCAAATGATTACAGTGCCTTCCCGATTACCTCTGCCCTTAATATACAGATGTCATTTAATTCAATAATTTGTAAGCATTTTAACCTTCGATACACATACATATCTTATATTTGTTATGTAGTTTTTCTTAACTTAATTAATGAAAGTATTAGGTGTGTTGACATTTGTGCATTTCGATACTCTCTCGTCTATTCCTCGGACTCTTTTGATTGCTTGGTATAAAAATCGCTCAAAAAGTAATCAAAACTTTTATAACTGTGACCAGACAATTACAAAGGTTGTCGAAAGTTGAGTAAAACGCGTCTTTTCCAATGGCCAATGACTCAAGCGCTTGATAAGCCAAGCACTCGTTAAAGTAAAAAAGGAAAAAGGGCAAAACAAATCAAACAAATTTTATTTTTTAATTTTTATGCATCAGCTAATTACCTTTATTACACAATCAAAAGTATATGCATATCACATATATATGTATATCTCCATATTAAAAACTTTTTGTCCTGACCGACTGACTTATTGGAGAACAACGCGCAGCCCAATCCTAGAATCCCAAGAGCTAGAATTGTGTCACTTGTTCCACTAGACAATTATAATAGTTTTATTTGCGGCCAATAGGAGACCATCCCTGGGAGTGAGCATATTACAATGCATGCGATATTTAGATATTGACGATGGGTGCGTCGGACCAACAAAGGGTTTGAGGTTTGATGTGCCTTCCGATTAATAAGGCAAGGAAAATTTACTACACTTAATTAAAAATTGAATAAATATAAATTAAGGTGCGGCCGTTCATTTACGCACCCTCACATACAAACACACATGTACACCCCAAAAATTGCAAAATCTATAGCTTAAGAGATAGAGTAACATTTTGAGGTTTTTGGGATTACAGATGATTTTTTTCAAGATCAAGTCGCGCCCACAGACGACTATCGTCACAGTTTGAAATACAAAGTTGCAGTGGATTAAACTCTTATTGTGTGAGATATTGAAGTACAGCAATCTCCTCTGTTTTTAAATGTGTAAACATGGTTGAATAAAATGTATCAATTTAAATTTAACTATGCAACTATAGTTTTATATTAAGCAGTTCGAGTCCCTGCTAGGGGGTAATCAACAGCGTTGAGTTGAAACTCTGCTAAAAGAGCGCAAGCGAGAGAGTTTTACCTAAAATATCCCTTGGTACTTTCCAACAGCGACATCTACGAGCCAGCAGCTACACTACGACGGAGCCATATTTGCAGCAATATATGTTGGTTTTTAATTCAGTGGGTTTTCTGTCCTGATCAGCGCCTTGGACACCCAATAAGTGCTCAATATGCCACATATCCATATTTAACCCATAACAATATTCATCATCTAATCTTTATTTGCCAATCACATGCCTACAAAATTGATTTAAAAAGTTGAAAAGCCGCAAGGCAATTAATTAACTTTTTACTGCACGGATTGTGGCATCCTGAGGGTTGCCCAACGGAATCCGCTTTACGTTAGTATTTAAAAAAAAAAAAATTAAAAACGATTTGAGAGTAACGAGAAAAAAGAGTTACATTAAAAGTAAATGCCGAAAAAACGTCCAGCATATGCGCATAAAAAATGTTCGTGAAAATTCCCAGGGGATCAGGACACATAATTGCCGCGATTTGCCGCCTTTTAACTTGTTTTTATTCTCACATTGTACTGCGTCCGGAATGGGATTGGCCACTTTGGCATTTAAACAAACACATTATGTTGTTGGACAAATATTGTGCGGCACCGCGGACCAGCACTGGTCACGGTTACTACGTCCATGGCACTCGACCACAAAGTCATGTTAATTAACATGCGGCCAGAAGCGATTTTTGGTCGTACCCGGGCCCGATCTCAGTCCCAGCGCCGGGGAAGCAGACATTGGCAAATGGCGAAAGTGAATTTGAATATAGCTCTGCTCTTTCCCATGCCTGTTGCCCAAATTCGCAAGTGCGAAAACGGCAGAACTTAAAAAAAAATACACGAAGCAACCATCAAAATAAAAAAATAAAAAACAGGCAAAAAATCCGTTGAAATAATTTCGTTGGCTTCTTTTTCTCAACATACCCCAATTGCAATTTACTCTGACTCACATAGCCAGTTGCAAGGAAAAAGGAAAGATACGCCTTGTATACAGCGGGAGCATAACCAAAGAAGATTAGCTCCTGATTTTTATGTTTGACCCTTCGATTAATTGATTTGGCTCGTTAACATGTCCCCCTTGTGTACAGTCATTCCTATTTTTCCCTTTTAAGTGAGTTGTCAGATTTAAAGAGCAGAGTGAAAATGGCTCAGAATGATTTAGAGGGATTCAATAAAAAGATGTAAAGTAACGAACCTCTATTAGGAATACTTCAGTCAGATTTACTTTCCGCTCATAAGGATTTATTGTGATTTTTAAATAAACATGTCGTAAATTTAAATTTAAATTCGGTCCAAAAATAAAATTAATTAGGAAAAACCATCAATAATGATGATCGCTTTCAGTATGATCATATATATATATATATATTTATACATATATATATATTGTATTGCCCGGCATTGCTCGTGGAACGATCTTCTTGATCTTCACTTCTATTTAAACATATGTTTTAGCTGAAGAATAAACTTTGGTTTACCTTTGACCCGCACTTGCCACCCAAGAACGTATCAAATAAATTCTCACAAAGATCTTTGAAAATAAGTTTAAGGCGAATGGTAAAAAAACTTTCATACACCCATTTCCAA